GGGACTTTTGTTTTTTCCAAGGAAGAGATTAAATTTATATACTATATAATGTTCACTTTGGTGGTAGAATAAAAAATGTATTATTTAAGATGGCTATTACTGAGATATGTCACAATATAGAGGTAAAAATTTACAAGGGAAAAGCCCTAGAGTCTTTCTATAACTCCATATGCAACTGCCATATGAGGTAAATATTAATGTGAGATTTGTTAGGAGGATAAGAAAATGATTTTAAACATTCAGCTCTGGAATGAGAGTACTTAGATAGCACTTCTGGCTCCATCACTTACTAGCTGTTCAACCCTAATCAAATGAGGTAACTCCTCAGTACTTCAGGTATCTTATCCAAATAAAGGTCAAAAATAATGCCCTCTTGAATAATTTTTGGGAGATTCAAATGAAATACCACAGCATGAAATAACACACTTGATAAGTATTATTATCCAAAGCCATGTGCCCTTGGGTAAGTTAGCTAACCCTCCTAGGATTCAATTGCCTACCTGTAAAATGGGAATTACAATAGCATCTACCTCATAGAGTGTTCATAAGGAGAGGTGAGATTATTCATAGAAGGCATTTATCTTAGTAACTCATGGAATATTAGCAACTGTCATTAATAATAGTTGTGAATCATACATATTTAAGAAATGAAATTCCTTGATAGGGATATAAAATTGACTCACCTAAATTTTTACTCAAAAGAAAAAGTACAATTGAGTTTCTAAATCTAATTGCTATAAATAGGGAACTTGCATATTCTGGAAATAATGTATTTTTCAGATGTATATTCTTTTGAAATTGTGGGAGGAATAATATTTGCTTTTGTAGAGAATGAAAATAGCAAATACTTGAAATAGACTCATAAGAGAAAGGAAACACATTCTTATGGACACTGAAAAATGCTCTCAACTCAAGGGCCTCAAACATTCTCCCACGAGGAGGTTTGCTCCGCTCCACATACAAAGATTAAGGACATGAGAAGTTCCTAGAGAAAAACCCAACATTTAAAAATTTTAAAGTAAATTTAAAGATCAGATGTGAGCTAGCAATAACTGAAGAATGTTAAAAGAACAGTGATCTAAAGAATGAGGTATGTATTTTCTAACATATTAACCCCTGTTTCTCGTTTAACCCCTGTTTCCCTGTGAGTCCTGGTTCACAGGGAAGTGTACAAAATGCACTGTTAAACATGACAATTTAATGCTGGCTCTGCCACTAGTTTGCAATGTGACCTTATGCAAATTATTTAAATTCTCTTTGTCTCTCCCAGCTTATATGATCCTTTCTATTTTAGAGGTGTACTAATAGGCTAATTTAGTAGTGTCTGTTTCATTTTTTACAGGCCCAGAGAATGGAGGTGCCTAATATTTTCCCTCTCTGATGCCTGATGAAGAGTAACTGGTTTAGCAGGACAACTCTGATCATCCAGTGTTTCTTATAACTACAAAGGAATTTATATTTAGAACTTGACCTTAGCACCATAGCCTTTTATAGTATAGTTATAGTAAGAGGATACAGGAAAGGGCTGTTTTGTTTTTTTTTTTCTATATATATCTTATTATTCCTAGGGATGTTTATATCATTCCTTTGCCTGTCCACACCTTTTTCTAAACAAGCCTCAGGAGACAGCATAGGGTTCTCTTCCAAAAAATAAAGGTGCAGTGAAGCCAAGCCAAACTGACGCAGCTTATTTTTCTTATTTTATTTTAGGGTGGGAGTGGTCCCTAGAGAGAGATCTCATCATAATTGGGGGCACTTGGACTAAAACTCAGGCATATTAAAGCCACGTTTAGGAAAAAGTACCTAGGGGGGAAAAGAAAAAGTGAAATTTGCAACTCTAGTCTTCTTATTGTGAAAGTCTAGTTTCTTAGAAATAACCACATACTTGGTGTAGAAACTCCTTAGGGTTTTGTTTCTCTGTGTCTTTAGATAGAACAGAAGATACTTTGAATACTTCAGGAGAGGGAGAGTGGGGAACAGAAAGAGAGAGAAGAAGGGAGAGAAATAGAAAAAGATAAGTCAGAGTAGAAAAATTCCCAGATGATCAAGGAAAGATGATTCTCTTAAAAGTTAATTTTTTGAACTTTGTTTCCTTAACAAAAGATATGCTATGCTTCTTTCCTATTCTGTCCTAGAGGCAACCTTAGGAAAGATTGTGTATTTATTCTTTACATGGATATAATTATTATTAAATAATGTTTTAATCCTTAAAGTCCATGCCCTCACTTCACAGCAAGGATTTAATTTTACTCCTATTAATCCTTTGGACAGAAAATCAGCACTTCCCTTACCCTTAATAGTATATAAGGGAAAACAGTTTTCTTAAAGAATAAATAATTTGGTTGATTTCATAGTTCTTTTTCTCCTTTACCTTCTTCTTATCACTTCTAACTTGGCCAAAGAAATATTAACCATGAGAAAGAGACACTATTTTTTAAAAATTATACCTTTACATGGGTATTAATATAAGTTGGTCTGAGCAGGGGTAGACAGAAATATAACAGAGATATTTATGTATAATATATAATAGACACATTCATTAATTCATTCATTCAACATTAATTGAACTTATTTCAACTGATGTTCTATGTGCTGAACAGACAATAATCTTTTCCATGATGGAGCTTGCTTTCTACTGGGGTAAGGCAGATATAAATCAAAATAAATAGGATATATAATATATCTGATGGTAATAAGAGATATGGAGAAAAATAAAGCCACCATGGTGGCTGGTCCACAGATACACATTTATCACTGAAATGTAGAAACATCCACCTGGTTCATCTTCTTTGACTATGCAAACTTTAAAAAGTCTTGGGGTTTTGGAGATGTTTCTACTCTTGTTCTTTTATGCTCTGCTAATCTGAGATACTCTAAAGTTCAATGCCTTGGGAAGTCAGAAGTTTCCAGGAAAATTTAGACCAAGCATATATAGGTCAGATCTCTCAGATCTGTTCATGATGCAGAATTTCACTTCAGTGGATAGAATCCAGTACAGCCAGGAGATGAATTTACCAAGTCTGCCCTCTGCTGACAGAAAGATCGCTGAAAAGTCAATAGATTTAAAAAAATAATCGGTAAGGTTTAATTTGAGATAATCTGTGCCTTTGTAAAAATTATGCAGTTTAGGTAATATTCATTTTCTATCATTTCATTCATTTATTTATTTACTCATTCAAATTTGTATTCAGCCCTTATGCACCAGGCACTATTTTCAGTACTGGAAATGCAATGGTGAACAAGAGAGACAAGACCACTCTTTTAATGAAGTGTACATCCACAGGGGACGAGATAGAGAAAAACAAAGAAAAACCATGAAAATGATACTTTATAATCTTATCTTTAAAAAACATACACAATGGGGTATTGTGCTAGAGATGGATGCATAGTCCTCTCCTAGGGATGTGCCATTTAAACCTAAAGCTGAATACCAGGAAGTAGCCTACCAATAAACCCATCTGTGGATTAATTAATGCTGGGGCAGAGGCAGAGTTAACACAAAGGCACTAAAACAGGGACAAACTTGTTTGTTTAAAGGATAAACAGAGACCACTGTGAGCAGAGTATGTGCCTGAGGGCAGAGTAGTACAGAAAGGGATGAGAGAACCAGGTAGGATCTAGATGGAAAAGGTTTTTAAAGAATTTTATTCTAAGTACAATAAAGCTATTAGAAGTGTTTCATTTAAGGTGGGAAGTACCATAACCAAATTTCCATAAAAAAAAAAGAGCAACATGAGTCTTTATGAAAAGTGATTTGGATTTTATTGGAATTGTAATGCAAGCCATTGAAAATTTTTTGAAGGAGATGATTATTAAGAAAAATTAAAAATCACATTTTAAAATGTATGAATGCCCACGCCATGATTTCCCTACTAGATTGTAAATTCCAAAGGATAATGATGGTATTTTCTATTCCTATACGTCTTTACCACCTCTCATTCATTGTTTGGAAATAATGTTTAGTATTATACAAATTTCTGCATCTAGAGTATATTCTGTGGAGGACTTTTCTAAAAAGGAAATGAATGTATGTTTCTTTATTCTTTCTGTTTTAGAACCTGACTTGAATTCCCAGTGAAGTGAAACTCAAAAGTCATGAGATCAGTATGTTTGAGGGTTTCTTTCTCTCTCTGTTTCATTTTAATCACAATGTTGGTGCTACCTGCACGGGTTAGGGGGTCTTCCTTGTCAGACATAACAGGTGATTCTGATTGGTAATTGATCTCATTAGGTGATGGGCTTACTTTCCATGAAGTGGAGCCCCTAAAATTACTGAATGGTGAATTTGTGGGGGTACAGGCAAGGGATGTTGCCTATATCTTTTTTTATTAAGTGGCTCAAAATTGAGGGAGATTGGATCTGTCCTTGAGAAATGAATGATCATCCTGTTTCCATCTATTTTTGGAAAGCTATAAATTGAATGAACAAATAAAATCTTTACAAAAGAGGAACTTTCAACAAAGAAATCCGTTCTGCAAAACAAAACAAAACAAAACAAAAAAAAACACCAAAACAGTGAAATGATCATTTCTCTTTACTGATACACAGTTTGCTTTTTGGAAAAAACATTTATGGAACTTGGGAGGGATGGTGTTTTGCAAAAGTGACAAAAATAAATTTCATCTCTTCTCTGATGATGTAAAAAATTGTTCCTTGTTAAGGTATTTCCATGAGTCTTTTGTAACTTGAATTTTGACAGAAATAAAGTTATACAAACAACCATCTAAAGATAATAGGAATGCACAACTTCACTGCAAAGTAGGACTGGGTGGGTGTGGGGAACAGAAATGGGTGGGACTGGTGAAAGAATCCATGATAAGTGAGGCTTGGCCTGAAGGTTTATGACAATGTTTTTCTGAGGAGAGCAGGAATGTGATCTAGTCCCTGATTACTGTTTCCAGCAGAATATGTTCTTTCCCAGAATCAACTGCTCTCACTTGCATCTGACTTACATCCAAAAGGATGAAAAAGCGAAATCATGCTTTTCCTTTCATTCCCAGCAGAGCACCAGCCTCCCTCTTCAGCTTGGCGTCCAGTGGCCTTGACCCTGCTACTTTTGTGCGTGGTGCTGCTGATTGGCCTGGCAGTACTGGGGTTTGTATGTAAGTCTGCACTCTGTCTTGTCTAGGATGAGAAATATTTTGTTTTATACTTCAATTCTAGAGCCTGTGAATAATTCAATATACCTTATTCTGAAGTACCTATTTAAACAGTGAGTAGTGGAAGAAGCATTAAAATACAGAAATCATTTGCCAGCTAGGTTTTTAGATTCTTTTTGAGATAAGAAGTTTTTTTGTCTTTTTGTTTATATGCCAGTATTTAAAATCAACAATTTTTAACAAACACATGCTTCAGCACCTTCCTTTCCACAAAAGAGTTGAGGCAGTGGTTTTTGCCCTTAGTGTGCCTGGCTCAAGGGGCTAAGACAGAAGGAAGAGATTTCATTTATACCCCAACTCCTCAATATAAGGAGGACAGACCAGGTCCTTAGTCACCATTAAATTTTTCAAAAGGTCCAGGTAGTTCTAAAATCATTTTGCAAAAACCTATGAAAATTAAAGAGGAAAAATTCACGTATAAAGTCTGTAAATTTCAAACTAATAAGGACAAGTTCAAAAGTATAAAAAAGAAAGTGGGCATATTTTCCCATCAGATCAAGACACTACAGCACTATTTCCTAGAATAGCTGAAGAAGGTGGTGCAAGATAAAAGGCTACATTGAAGAGCAGGTTTTAATGTCAAAAATGTGGTTTTTATAGGAAATTTTCAAACTTATTATCTTAAATTTTATAATTAAAAATTAATGATATTACCCTGACCCCCAAATTTCTACTTTATTTTAATGTAACTAACTATTGTCTTGCGACCACTGTTCTTTTTAGGGATATAAAGCAACATTCATGATTCATAAAGGATTTTTTTTTCTTAAATTTAAGACCCTAAGTGTTGGAGTTTAAACCTAAGTATTGAAATACTTAACCAAGTGATTCTTGCTTATTCTCACTAAGTCAAACTGTAAATGTATAAAATAGAGAAATGGTAATGAATGACCACTTTAATGAATGAATGAGATAACAATGTATGGTATATTGTCAATACTCAATGTAATGGTCAAAGAATACATAGATTTGTAGTTTTAGGTTGACTAATGGTTTGAGAATATACACAAAATACTTATTAAACAGTAAATATGGTTAAGGAATTTCTTCCTGAAGTTGGAAACTGTTACTATGACTCCATATTTTCAGGTAAGAAAACATACTTAGAGAAATTAATTTGCTCACAAAAATACAATTTAGTATGTATTACATTCTAACCTTGAATATATGTAATATGATCTCAGAGATCTCATATGCTGTTTTGTCTTCTCCATATGTAGAAAATAAAAATAGAAATGAAGAAATAAATTGTGTAGTCTGACTTGGTAACTTGGGTTAGTTTTTCAGTTCTACGAGCTCTCCCATACTCAGAAAGACAACATTTCTACAATGAAAGAAAGATTGGGGAATCTCTCTCAACAGCTGCAATCTCTCCAAGCCCAGAAAAGGAAGCTTATAGAAACTCTGTACCATGTGGCTGAAGAATTCTGCCGTGAGCTCTATAACAAAACTGGAGGTGAGTTCTGATCACTAAACTCTCTCTACCCTCAGGATACCTGTCAATACAGGGCTGACTTTCTGATCAGTGTACCTGGGAACCAATGTATTAATTAAGTAGCTGTATTATTTAACTAGATGTCTGGCAAACTTAAGAGTTTAGGCATACAGATTTGTCTGGTTTCAGGGACTGTAGCGCTGCTGACAGGCAAGAAGGCCCCAAGGCTGGAAATAATCAAGGAGGCCTTGGGAAAACAGGCCACTGAGGAGGCAAAACCTGTCCCCCTGCCTCCCTCACATCACCCCGTTGGCCCTGTGATGGTCAGTTAGTCAAAGATGGGAAAGATCTCTCACAAGGAGGGACGGTCTAAGACAGATACAGCTGGTATGGGCAGCAGACAAGGACTTGGGGGACACAGAGAAAGAGCAAAAAGGCCCGCACCCCTCAGCTCAGCTAGCACATGGCCGGAGTCCTCATTCTATCTGAAAGATGTCTCCTTATCTCTTGGTGTCTCTGCCCAACCCGCCTGGCTCAGGCTTGAAACAATACTAAAGGCAGGTTCAGCCCTAAACTGGATTGGGCGGTTCCCGGGGGCAATCAGGACTAGAAGTAAGTTCCTCCAAGCACTGTGTTGTTCTTCTGATAATAACCTGCTTATACTGGGAAAGAGATTTACATTATTCATAGACCATGACCTGAGGCAGATCTCTTGTGTTCCTTCAATTGTTATCTATGATCTCTATCTGTTTTCTGTAAACATAGCCTCTTGACATTGATTGATGAGCTTTGCTGTTTACCCCTGTGCGTTTGGTTTTCAATAAAAGCCTTTGAACACAGGTGCTCAGGACCTTCCTCATTAGAGGGAAGAGTCATGCCCCATCTCCTGGCAAACAGAGAAGTGTTTGCGAGGACTCATGTTTTTCATGTTTATTCCCCCCATCCCGGGATGGGCTCTGTGGGATTCAGGGGCCTGCTCCCTCCTCAGCTGGCTCTGGACAGCTGGCCCAGATCCAGGAACGCCCATGCCCCATGCTCTCCCGTGATGCATCACTCCCCGCGACACAGATTATGTCCAGTTTTTGGAACCATTTAGCTCAAATACATCTGTGCAATAATACAGGAAAGAATTCTTGAAATTCAGACATTTTAGACCATACAAGAGCCCTATGATGTGAATGTATCTTTATATTCAAGGAATAATAAGGAGCCTCTGTACCTGGAGTGAGTAGAAGACTAATAAGAGATGACATAGAGATTATTTATGGCATTAGGGGACATTGTAAGGGGTTTGGCTTCTATTTTAAGCATAATGAGGATTCATTACAGGCTCTTGAGCAGAGGAAATGCATGCCTGACATGAATTTTTAAAGGCTCACTCTGCAAATATATTGAAGAGAGACTGGAAAAAGGAAGGTTAGAAACAAAGAAATCACGTAAGAGATAGCTATTGCAGTAATCCAGGTAAGAGATATTAGTGGCTCAAACTAGAATATGACCAGTGGAGATGAACACATGATGGAATAAATGGGTTGTGAGAGTCAGAGATATCTCCAAAGTTTTTGGGCAAAACTAGAAGCATAGACATGTAATCAGGTAGAATGGGGAAGAATTCTGTGGTTATAAAGGGGAAGGTTGGAAACCAGGAATGCTGTTTTGGGCAGGTTGAATTTGAAATATGTATAAGTTAGATATCCAAGTGGATAAATTTAGATATAATTTATATCTAAATTGTATCTCTGGATAGGCAGTCTGGTATATAAAAGATAAGATCTGGGCCAGAGATATAAACTGACTTACTAAGAAATCTCCTAAATTATTTAATACTTTGTTTTACCTTATGGAATATTTCATATATACAGAAAAATACAAACAATAATATAATATTTGTTTGTATTGACCACTCAGATTTTTAACATGTTAACATTTTGATACTAGATTGTTTTTAAAATAAAGACATTTCTATAGAATTATTGAGTTCCCATCTCATCATATACCCACAAAGGACTTGGTTACAAGTCCCCAACTATCAAAGCCCAAAGGCCATGTTCCCATATAGGTACTAAAACCATAGCTGTTAGGGCTTAGTTCTATATTTACAACCATTACCCATAGTAATCCATCTCACTCTTGACCTATGCACTTAATTCGTTAACGTTGGTGCACATCTTAATTTCCGATACATGGAGATTTACCATTCTAATTCATACATTGCTGAGTATTTATATTTTTTTCTAAAATTTTATTTACTTGTGTTTAGAAAGAGAAAAGAGTTCATATCTCGTTGATATACTGAAGTCTGTCCAGAAACAGTCCAGCCATTGTTAATATAACGAGAATCATTTGCGTGACATCGCTGTAACCTAGCAGCCAAAGAGAGTGGACTGGAATGCACATGTGTGAAGAATGACTTCACTGTACTAGTCAGTGCGGGCAGTGGAAGCCATTGAGTGAGCATGTGTACTGTGTAGCCATTCATTCAAAATGACTGAACTAGTAGAGCAACGAACCTAAATCAAATTTTGCGTGAAGCTTGAACATTTATCCATGGAAACTATTCTGATGATTTAGAAGGTTTTCAGGGATAATGCACTGAGTGCAGTGCAAATAAAAGTGCGACACAAATGCTTCCATGACGGTCTAGAATCTGTTGACAGTGATCTACTTTCTGGAAGGCCTGCAACAAGCAGAACACATGAGAATGTTCACCGTGTTCGGGCTGCAATCAGCAAAGATCTTGTGAGGTCCCAAGGTGCCTACTTTCAAGGGGTCTGAGGTACCATTGTGTTATATACAATGTTTCTTGTATCTCCTTCAATAAATGCCTCTATTTTTCATAGTATGTGGCTGGATACTTTCTGGACAGACCCATATATTGCCTTTAAAAAAATCCTTTTATTACTATACAAGGAGATTTTGAAGAATAAAATTGTAAAAACTTCAATTGTTTCCTAAGCACAATGCATGTTGAGTTTCTGAACATACAAAATGTCCTTTATGCATTGAACATCCTCTCTGTATACTGAATGCATAGGCCAGGGAAGAAAGAAGTTCCAGTCATTCACTGCTAGTTTCCATATCCATTAAAGCAAGTAGTCTCTGTTTTAATTTCCACTGTATGCTCAGGACAAATCACAATTCTTGGCATATAGTGGGTGCTAGGTAAACATTTGTAGTTATCATTGCCTGGGCAATTGAATACCTAAGAAAAGGGGAATCCATTCTTTCTTGGGTTATCAAATACCATGTAATTTCAATAAAAGTAAGAAAACAGACCTGGGAAGAAAATAACTCAATAAAATTGGTTTCTTTCCAAGAGCACAGCTGTACCCCTTGCCCAGAAAAATGGAAATGGCATGGGGACAAATGCTACCAATTCTATAAAGAGAGCAAGAGCTGGCAGGACTGTGCCTATTTCTGTATTGCTGAGAACTCAACCATGCTGAAGATAAACACACAAGAAGTGCTGGTAAGGTCTTGAGTTTCGGTCAATGTTTGAAGTGTTCTCAAAAAGATGTCTTTCAAAGAGCTATGCAAGGCGAATCTAGGCAGTCAAGGTCCATTGACTCTCCCATTTATTTCAATCAGGGATATATATTAATTTATACATATATACATATGTGAAAATATATGAAAATTTCTCTCTCTTTCTTAGTATGAGACATAAACCATCTTTTCAAATTCTTCTTTTGCCTCTTTTGACATTAAATTGTAGTAATTATTCTCTTCTCCTTCCTGGTCAGTCACTCTTGCATGTATTTATAACAGTTACTTCTGCATTCCTGCATTTTTCCCTTCCTTTCCCAGAATCACTTCACATCTCTTTGTAAGTCTGCCTCCCATATTTTATATCAATCTTAGTGTTCACCTTATGACTTGAAACTAACGGGTCACTTATAAGGCTTGGTTTCAGAATATTAGTGTATTTTCTGTGCTTATAAAGAGAAATGAAATTCTTTAACTTGGACAAATGAACTGACCTTAGCATAGATGCTTTCCTCATAAGTGTATTATTATCTACATGAAGCAGGAGTAGTGTGTCATTCTCATATTAAAAGTGTTGGCTGGCCCTGGCTGGTGTGGCTCAGTGGATTGACTTCTGGCCTGCAAACCTAAGGGTCACTGGTTCAATTCCCAGTCAGGGCACAGGCTTGGGTTATAGGCCTGGTCCCCATTGGGGCTGTGCAAGAGGCAACCACACATTGATGTTTCTCTCCCTTTCTTTCTCCCTCCCTTCTCCTTTCTCTAAAAATACATAAATAAAGTCTTTAAAAAAAAGAAAAGATGAAGTGTTGGCTGGCACTACACATCTCTGTATATATATGTTATTGTAACATCTCCAAAAGCTGAACATTTTCTTGTGTGCCTTTGCAGCAGTTTACCATGCCTCACAGCTACTCTGAGTTTTACTACTCTTACTGGATAGGGCTGTCCCGCAACGGCAGTGACAAGGCCTGGCTGTGGGTGGATGGAACGCCGTACGCTTCTGAACTGTAAGACTTCAGAATATTTTGTGGGAAAGTCATGTAATAGAGAGGTATTTCTTGAGTGGCAGAATTCAACAAATTGGTTCAACAAGCATTAATTGAACATCTGCTTTGAATTAGAGACTATATGTGTAGGAGGATGTCCAAGGATCTATAAAACAATGCTTTCTCCTTAATGGCTTATAAACCAATGAAAGAGACAGATAAAAAGTGTTAATGAAATAGTGGAGGAAGTTCTTTGCCTGGTTGCTTTCAGAAAATTTCATTCCAGGCCCTGAAGTTTGTTGCAGCATTAAAATTGTCTGGAATTCACTGAAGAAGAAAGGAGAGAGAGAGAGAGAAAGAGAAAGAATCTTTTATGGATTAAAAAACTGAAGCCCAGGTTGTGATGGTGACTTGCCTAAGGTTACAAAACTTCCCGACTTGTCAATACCTAGAGATAGTATGAGACCTCAGATTTCTTGGCTTTCTGTGCACTGAAATGGGGAGCATATCTTTAAAAACACAGTGTCTGAGGATAGATTTACTGACAATATAAACAGTATTATTATCTAAAGTTAGTTCTACTTATGTAATTTGGATAAGAATAGGCATGATATTCTTTGAAGTAGGTAAATGTAATATTGATGCTAAAATATATTACAATTTAAAGCCATATTTGAAAAGACATCTATGTACAATATAGGATTTATTCTTCTAGCAAATAAGACATATGCAACGTAATCATTTTTATTTTATAGTTAAGTAAACTGAGCCACAGAGAAGTAGATAATTTCTCAGGTGGCTATAAAATTATATGTTAAAGTTGGACTATAACATGTACCATAGTTTTAGGTAGAAACTGTTTTTGTTGTTTTGGGTGACCTGATGCTTCTAAGAATGACTATGGAAATTAAAGTGCTGAAAAGAAAGAGCTTGGTGACTCCATCTTTCCAGTAACTCATTCTGGACATCTATGCTATTATTTTATCAAGCTAAGAATATTTCCTATGTACTTTTTAAGTTCTTAGTATTTTTAGGAATAATAATTAAATTAATATTTTTTTCTATTTTAAGGTTTAGAATTATAACAGATATCACCAGCATAAGACACAGGGACTGTGTAACCATCCTCAATGGCAAGGTTTTCTCAAAAAATTGCCAAGAGTTGAGACGGTGTGCTTGCGAAACAATGGCGACCACAGTCAAGCTAGAGAGACTCCTTAGCTTCTCTGAACCATTATGTGGAGTTGATTGACTCTCTAGCTGCAACTACAACTTTGCACTCCCTTGAAACAAACTGAAGATCAGAAGAAGAGTCAATCTCTTTATGTGCACTCGGTTTCAAACTATTCTCTTTCATTTGATCCTGTCTTTACAGCAATTCAACAAAAGTTTGAGCCAAGCAAGGTCAATGCAAAGAATATTTGAGACATAAGGAAATGGAGCAAAAATCAGGAAAGGCAATCCCTCTGACTGGCACAAGAAGGATTTTCATGTTTCCTGCTCAAGATCACCAGCACTTCTGAGTTTGGGAATTCATGGGCATATTTACCAGTCATGAGAAAGTCCCAATTATGTATCATCAGCTGGTCCCAGAAACTCATAAAATTATTATCTACCTTCTTGAGTTTGAGATAACTTCCTAGTGTTCTTCCCTCTCAGCATCTAATATCATTTCCCTCTTTCCATGTCTTCCTTAATATTTAGAGGAGTGAGAAACTTAAATGGGGGAAATAAATGTATGTAACATCCTTTGTGTCAGCAGTCAGTTAGTCCATGAGAAATGAGCAATCATTTCTTATACTGTGCTACCAAATACACAACTAATTCGCTTTGATTGCGTAAGTTCTTTTTTTTCCCTTCTCAGTCTCTCAGTAAAAGCCCCATCTGCTGTGTCTATGGCCTACTTCTCACGGGGCTATTTTTTTTTTTTTATTAGAATCTTAACTCTTAGAAATCTTAGTTTTTAAGATTCCAATGACTTTTTAAGATTCCAATGACTGCCTCAGAATTACTATCCCTTTTGCTCCCTTCAGAGACTGAAACCAGAACAAAAGTCAGTCTATCTATGTACATCTGGAATAGTTTGGTTTTAGTTTATATTTTCTTCCATTTGATCCATGTTTATATCCTTCAGGTACTAAAGATTTAATAATAATAAATGAAAATAATGTGAAGTGTGTGTGATTTTAGAATGGATTTGTGATTTGGGGAAAAATTCAGTGTGGAAATGCTTTTCAAAAGATCATAGAAGTCTGTTCTGATTGCGCTTTACTGAGACTTTGTATGGACTCTACAAGAGTACTGATTATTTGATTATTTGAAGAAAATAAGAAGTCTTTGAGATGCATGCCATCTGCAAGAGGATGGTTTTAACATTTTCTTAAAATGAAATTCTTTGAGGCAAGTTATCGACACGTGGCTCAAGATGAGTAAACCAAATTGCAATAGGGCAAGTCATTCAATCAGGCCATGGAAATGGGAGACTGTGACATATATAGCTAGCTTCTTGTGGAGGTGACCCTTTCTCAGGATGACAATATGCACAGTCACCCAGGGGTCATTGCAGATAACATCATCACAAACACTGACTTCGTTTATTTATAGATAAATTCATTTGAGAACTTCAACACTGGAAAAGATAATTTTTTATAAATATTTTTCAACAGTGGAAATTGGGGTGCTTCAGTTTTATTTTAAGTAAACATCTATCTTATGGTAAAATGACATTAAGTTAGCAAATACATGATAGAGCATTTTCGTGTTCATTTTCATAAGACTGCCACTTATCAATCACGAATTACAGATTTCTTTCTTAAGATCTTTTCATGTCAATTTTCTGCCCATTAGTTAGAAAATTTTTCAGTGTTAAACAGATTTTGTGTTGATTTATTGTGTTGTTCAAAGAGAACTGCACTTGTGATCATAAAGCAAGAACTCAAGATTCTTAATTTTGATTTATTATTAAAAAATCACTTTATTTGAAGCTTATTTCATTAATGTAAAGTAGGAATATTTACAACTTCCTCATGTTGCTGAAATGTTAGCTGCAATGAGGTAAATGTGAAATTAGTTCCATAATCTAAATGTAATATAAAATTTAAAGGATATTAAAAATAATGTGAAAAGGGGGAGAAGGGATTTAGTGGTTATTTTAAAATATAGAAGAGCACAAACAAGCATGAAAAACCTGCTTTGGAGACCTGTATTCATGAACAAATTGTAGAGAGTCATCTGCACTGGGGAGCTGTGTATAATACCAAATATTTTCTATGATGGGTGTAGATATTTAATGCATGTTGTTAATGTAATAAGCACATAAGAAATGTGGATTAGGCCTTTCGTTAAGCATTTAAATGTTATTTAAGCCATGGTACTGAAGCAAGAAAATATGGTTAATATAATAAAATCAAATGACTTTATGGACTGACTTGTAAAATAAAAACAGGACACACAGGTTTTGACACCTGTGCTGAGGTATGGATAAGAAGAGTCTTTAAATGACATTGCTTCAAAGGGCCCAGCTGCCTGGAGAGTGGGTATTGAATACTATTCTCAGTAAAAATCTGCAATCTCAGGTAAAGTGTCTCTTCAGATACTGAAGAAGGAAAAAAATAGTTTATTTGACATTGTTCGCTATTCTTGAATTTATTTCCTTCCATCTTTGCCCTCAGTAATCCCCTCATCTGTATAACAAAGCTCACCATACTGATCACAATATGAAAAAATATTTCAAAAAACAGAAAAGGAGTATGACATAACATTCTCTCCACAATTAAAAAAAAATTTAAGGCTAGAAAATAATCCTAAGATAAATTTGAAAATACAGTTAGCTGAGATCAATTTTCCATTGAGAATCAGAGAAGGCAGCGCCCCATGAATTGATTTTTCAACAAGAGGGACCTTGTCTAGGCTCTTGAGTGTTTGGGTAATTCTGGAGAAGTTGCAGGAAAAGTCAAACGAGGAACGTGGCCTTTCCTGGTAGACCTGAGTTCCCCAGGGTACACAATGAACTATTTCTTTTCCTGAGGATATTGAGCCAGCTCTTAAAACTTATCAACAGGAAACAGGCCATGAGCCCTGTAACAGCAGGAAGTGTGAGAGGAGTGTAATGAGAGCTTTTACTTTGGGTATATAAACAGATTATGAAATAAACAAAAAGTCTAGTAGGTTGTCTTGGGGTTGGCCTTAATAGTTGAGTTAAATACTTTGTAAAGGGATTCTTGTCATTTTTGAAAAATACGAAAAGTGGCATAATATGATTTAAAGTGTGCATAACTTTTTTACAAGATTCACTGTATGACTAGATTATTAGAATATAATAATACTATTATTCTTCCAATCTTACTATTCTAACTTTTTCTTTTTATACATTTAATGTACTTTAACCATACCACATTTATATTTGTAGCATAGAGTTTTATGTTTCCTTTTCTTCCCCTGTTTTAACGGCTAACTTGGAACTCAGCGAGATGACTCAGGATAACCACGTCATTATTGGTGGGACTAGGGTATGAGACTGGTTATGCCAGTACTAAGGCCCAGTCTCTCACCAGTGCCTTGAAAAACACCCCTTGATATTCTGGGTCAAAAGCAACCTGCAGGAAAAAAAATCTTCCACCCGTAATACCTGTGTGGAGAGCAATATTGCCACTAAGGGAATTTGAAGGAGATTCCTCCAGCTGCAGTGCAGATAAAATTCTGACTTGTAATTACTGCAGCACATACTGGAAGGATGACATCAACTGAAGGATGTTTGCCTTTTGCTTCATTGTACTTTTTCTAACAAGAGTTATTAAATGCTTCCTATACTTTTTCTAAACATAGCTCCATGACAATACTTTGAAGAATCTTGAAGGCAAACAGTCTTCACCCCTCATAATTTGCTATTGTTCCCCCTTTACTCCAGGTTGTTATGTCCAGCTGCCAGCTGCCAGCTGTGAAAATCAAATGCATGGTATTTTCTTTGCTCGCCTCCTTTCCTACATTCAGCAGAAAACTAGAGAAAATCCCTTATAATGAAATCCCTACCATTTAAACTGCAGGTGAAGGGTAAATTAATTAAAAAAAAAATGCCTTCCCATTCTTATAAGACCTTTTCCTTCAGAGGTCACATTTTAATAGACTTCTAGGTTTGTTTACATGATTTGCACTGTTTCAGTGAATTAGTTTATTTTACTTTATTTAAGTGGTGTCTATTATAAAGAAAGATGAGAATCTAGTGTAGCTCAACTACTGCTTGTGAAAATGAAAGATTTAATAAAACTATTGAATTTAGTAAATATTTGATGGGCTAAATATATATTACTGTGTAGTAAGTTGTTATAAGGATGGTAAGTGGTAGCAGAGTAATGTTATAATAATTAGTGATTTTTTTTTCCCTTATAGATCACAAGATATTTTCATATTCACTGTTTCTTGGGAATAAGCTAATTCATGTTCAAGAAGCTTGCAGCCCTAGGACACAGATTGTCTGTACATGTATTTGAAGAGATTCCTTCACTTTGAAAAAGATAATGTCTCCAGACAGCTGATGGCATTTTACATAAAGTGTTATGTAAAAATGCCATCAAAAATTTTATGATGGCATTTTAGATAAAGTTTTGATGGAAACTTTATCTTCCCAATATTCCTGGGACATGACAAGAAATGGGGTCACTTTTACCTGGAATGCACACATAAGGTTGATGTCTACAGATGACTGGTGATTTACTCCAGGTAATATTAACACCTATAGAGTGTCAAATTCTATGCGAGGTACTGTTAACAGCAATTTACATATATTAAAGATTTTAGCCTCAAACATATTTTGAAATAAGTTCTATTATTATTTTACAATAAAGAACTTGAGGCACAGAGAGATGCAAATGCAAGTGCTAGAGTGTAAGCTTTTGGGGCCCAAACTGTGAGTCCTCTGATTGGCCAGTGGTGGGGTGGGCATGAGAGGGAGGAGAGAGGCCCATACACAGCTGTCCTTTACTGGAACCACGCTGGTGTTGGCAGCCTGACTTTCCCTTCCACTAAAGTGAAGTGTTGGTAGTCCATCTCTCTAGTAGAAATCTATGATCCTAAAAAGGGTATTGTCTTCTAGGCAGCGGATATCAGCCTCTTTTTCTTCCAATTTGAAAATCTGTATCTCTGTGCTCACATCATCCCAGTCTGATAACGATGCCTTGGAAACCTAGCAAATGAATAAAAGATCTGGCAGACAGTGAGTTTGAAAGGCCATGTTTATTTATGTAAAAAAAAAAAAAATCAGTCAGCTAGAACTGCATCATTTCCCTAGTGACTTACAGATTTCTGTAGGTTTATGATCACTCTAGACTTAAAAAAAAGAAAAGCATGACAAATCAAAATGATGTTTCTTCAGTTGGTTCTCAATCCTTCAGGGGTTTGTCCTCTAAATCAATTTTATTCTTGGCAATTTGAATAGTCAAAAGAATGCCTGGGAAGTACTGAAAAATATTACCCAGTGTAAATGCAAAAATAAGTTTGGAGTCCCAGGTAGCTAGTTTAGTTCACATATAAGCTTCCTTGTGCACTTGTGCCTTGGCATTTTGTGACAGGTTTTCCAATGGCCTGTTCCAAATGCTATTGCAGTAGATCACTTCGAACTCAACTTCTTTCATATCAGGATATTAACGTGTACTTCTCACAGATAGAGTATTTCCAAATGCTGCAGTTAGTGGAAAAAAGGCTCTTGTTTCTGAGGTATCCACAGAGCTTGCGAGTTGTTTGGGGTCTCTCTATGGGCAACCTGGAGAGGCAAGTCAGCATATTTGAGTTTAGGGATGGAGCTTACAGAGGCGTTGCTGTGGGTAACTCATGAGAGGTGTGTAGTTTTTGTTTTGTCCTGTTTTGTTTAAATATGGCACTCTTCTGTAGTAGTTTTGTCTTCCTTCAATAACAGAGATGTTTTCTCTCAATAAAAGTATGTTAATGTAATTTGAACAAATTGCATATAAAAACATAAAGACAGGCTCTAAATTAGAATATCTTTCCTGACTCTTAATTCTCAAAATACTAAGGCATCTGATTCTGTTCACCAATTTCCCTAGGTCCTTCTAAAAGCTTTGATTATGGAAATTGCTTAATAATCACTATAATCTCTTTTTCTTAGCACTCTCTAGTCATTAAATTAGACAAAGGAAATATTCTTGATATTTAAATAATATTGTCCATTCAGACTGTCATATTTTGATGGAAATGTTCTGGAGGGTAATGGCTGTGAGGGTGAGAAGGAGGAAGATTTAGACGCCATAATGCTACTCATGAATTACCTCAGCTTTGATTCTAATTAGAAGCCTATGAAATTACAATGCTGTTTGTGTTCCCTGGAGGGAACCTAAGATATAAATTAAAATGAACATTTGAATTCCCTCATGTAACTTTTTTTTCTTATAACTTTGTAATTTTCTCCCCCCCCCAAAACGCTTACAGGTCAGGGGAAGGAGAGGAGCCATCTTGCCAAAGGAAAGGTTGGCTGCGTCCATCCTGAATCAGTCCCACCCAGTAATCTTGTTCACTTTTGATCTTCCTCAAGCTGCCAGTAATAAAGTCCTATAAGAAACAAGAACTGGGTGGTGAATGTGGGGAAAAAAACCAAGAATAAACTACCATGAACTATGAAGTATGCCATATTTCCTAGACAGAGATTAAAGGGAACTTTAAGGCTGGAGAAAGAGGGGGGTATATTTAAAAGAAGAAATACAGTTATAGATTATTTTTTCTGTTTCTATATGATCAATGTAGCATTGAAGACCATGTGAAAAATAAGCATCTGGTATTAATATAGTTTTAACAGATTTAGAGGTTGGCAGATATATGTGTCAAAAAAATAAATGTTATACTTAACTCTCATTATCAGAAGAAGTAAAATATTTTTGACATCATAGACCACAGTATACTTCTATATGAAAAATAGTTTAGAAGATTCCAGAAACAACTTAACTGTAGGCATATTTTGTTAGAAGAAACACTACTAACATTTGTCACCAAATTTGCACAGAACACATAATGAAAATCTATAATTATAATAAGTTAGTTCAAGTTGCCTTCTTTGTTGCATATACTTAACATATTGTTCTCCTATTATTTTTGTAAAAATGAACTTTGACTAATTACCGAATATAGTGGCATACACTTTTAATAAGGTCAGTAATGTGTAACTATGCATTCTACCTCACACATATATATGGGTAGGATGATTTCAGAAAAATATTTTATTGTTTGCTTGTTAAGATATTAGTAAATTTGGTTAAGTCAATTGAACAATTCATTTAGTAAATGTTATTTTCATATACCTTTCCATTTCATGACATCATCTCTTTTTATACTCCTGATTTTCCATGATAATTGAAAAATTTTAAAGGTTATTATACTTCCCTACAGCATTAAACATAATTATTTAAAACATATATACAGCTATAACGTAAGTGTATCTTGGAATAGAATAGCATATCTCAAAATAGTATTTCTTTTAGTCCTCATATTTGATTAACAAAGGACAGAACTAACATATGCTTGATTTTGGGATAATATCTTGTTTTATTGTTTGTTTATCCAGTTAAAAGGAACACAAACCATACTAATTCTTACTTCATCTCTTTTAAACCTTTATTACAACTAATATACTACTGTTATAAAATATTAAAGAATTCTATTTTATCATAATCACTCCTTTCTTTTAATGGGTAACATGATATTTTCAGAATGATATGAAACCATAAAACAGTGTTTACCATTTCATCTTTGCTTTCTATTTGTAGAAGATTAGAACCCTCCTTCAAACAATCCTTTTCACTGGTTTGCCAAATTTTCCAATTTTCAAAGACATAGTAACAACTTTTTCCATTCTGAATCCAGTTTTCTGGACAAGGGCTGCAGACAGAAGCTTTGAATAAAATATTTTTATTAAAGTTACTGTAAAAAATATTAGAAGCACATATCTTTGGAATGACCCCTCGTATCACCACCAGTGAACCTAATGCTGTAACTGAATGGTTCATGTGGTGCAATACTTACCAATTTCAGCTTCTCTGAGGATGACTACAGTAAGATTTATATAATTATTTCCAACTGCAATCGATCTTGAAGAATTACTTTACGATAAATTTAACTAGGGCATGTTTTTTTCCAAATTGTTCCTCTTCTATAGTAATCGATCTGATAATTTTATTTTTATAAATCTTTACTTTCTTTAGGTTAACCTCATTTGTAGTCTTCATTCATTTGCTTATTGTTTCATATTTGTTAATTTTACTGGCCCAATCTAGTTAAAAATGTACTGGAGCACTAGGCAAGTTGTGTAATAAACCTCAAGCTAATGCTTAAATTCTTGTTTCATGTATAATAGAGAGAACAAACAATGCACCTTAATGAGTAATTTGAAAATATGTACGTGAGGGAAAGTGAAGAAAAAGCATAGGTGATCAATATGCTTACATTAAAACTTTTATAAAATTAAGAAGTAAGCCAGAATGTTTAATCAGTTTTATGGAATCTGCCTTAATAAAGAACATATTTACAAAAGAACGATGCTCAAATATATAAAAAGGGAATCAAACAGCAAGATTTTGACAAAGTGTTTCTAGGACAGTTTTATAAAGAAAGACATAGAAACTTCTAGAACTCAAGTTTCTAGAGAAAGTCACAAATAGTTTATTATCAGTTTCCATGGTCCAGATGTAGAGTTATTTCAAGCTCTTCAATATCCTTTGTTTGGAATGCATGCTAATCAAAATCTTGAATATTGTTAAAGTTATAGCAAAAATAGTGTTGATGATGGCAATCAAAGGTATGGAGAACATGCTGGATTTCTTGGTCTTCAAATGGATATTGTTATCAAATCAAGGTTGATGGCTCAGAGGTGGGTCTACTCATGCCTGAAATAATCTACTGTATTTAAAAACATTGTTGAGCACCCAGTGCTTCTTTAAACATTTACTTAATTACATTTTAATCAGAGGGAGCTATGGTAGATTTTTGACCTTTCTCATTGGTGATTACCTAAATGAAATCCACTACAGGAAAGTTAATTGTCTAAATTACAAGTATCATTAAACGTTCATTAAATAATCATAGAATACTTTACAAACTATGCAACAGGTAGATATAGATTATTTTAGGCTTAAAATGTTTGTAAGGCATATAAAAGATAAAACTGAAGTAATTTTATGGAATTTTTTAAAAGAGGTGAATCCAGCATTGTTATAATCTTATGGTAAGTATTCTAATTTTCAAAATAAACTATTTTCCTGAAAGAGTCATCTAAATTTGAATCTAAAGCAATATCTAAAATAAATATATTGAGTAACTTAGAACTACAATTAAACATAAACTTGAATGACTGAATAAAACATCTGACCTAATATCACAAATATCACTTTGAAATTTGAGTGAATGTTTTCTTTATCGCATTTCTTGGAACATCTGTATTTTCTATATACTTTTGATATACATAAATAAGATTGAATGGGAGTGTGGATCAAAATTAGGTCTCTTCTATTATGATTTGCTGACTATGATTTTGTAGAGAATAAAATGTGTGTCACTGCTGAGTTGGTTTTTTTTTGGTGTTGTTTTGTTTCATTTTGTTTTGTTTTTTGAGGATTTGGTGCATACATTTGCATTTGCAAAGTGAAAACTTATTTTCCATATCAGTTACCTGAACTGAAAGAGTTTTGCATCAAGGTTTGGTAATATTTTATCTGGCGTTCATGGCTTCTCTTCCACTGTGTGAAGTTCAACAGTGCTATGTCCTGTTGGATGAGTTTTTCTTGTTGCTTCTTTGCAATAGTGGACACCTGGAACCCTTCAAACAATAAGAACTATTTCTAATAAACTCCTAACAAATTATGAATCATTCTTCAACACAGACTAAAGACAACCATCAGTTTTTATTGATTTTTGTGACTTCATTTGCATTAAATTTTTAAAAAATGTACATTGTTTAAGAATTATCTACTATACCATGCTGTAAACATAAAACTAATACAAAATAATATTGAATTTAGACTGTAATTGAAAACTAAAATTAAAAAAATATATGTATCTAAAGAAGATGCAAGAAAAGGCTTTATTAATAAAGTTGATATTTATTTGAAAACACAAACAATTTATATTGTTCAAGAATAAAAAACTATAAAGGATACACAGGAAAAAGTGTCTTTGCCACTGCTGTCTTATTCACCCAGCTCCACTCCTCCAAAGCAGCCAAGCTTACCAAGTTTGTTTTCATTCTCCTAGAGGAATTTTGAATTTTACAAGCTAATGAACATTAAATACCCTTACCTATCTTTCCACAGATGGTCACAATAGGTTTACATAGTTTTGTTCCTTTTATTTTATCACTTAAAATTTATTTTGGACATAATTTTATGTCAGTATATAAAGAGTTTTCTGCTTATTTCACTATAACTGTATAGCATACCATTATATGGATCTATCATGTATTGAATGTATCATGATTTAGTTAGCAATTTTCTGTTGACTTTTGTAATGTTTTGGTATTGCAGAAATGAATACAGTAATAAAGAACCTTAGTCATACAGAATTTCACACATGTACAAGTACATTTTTAAGGACACATTGTTAGGACAGTTTGTGTGCATTTATTTAAACCATATTAGATACTTCCAAATTGCCCTCCAAATATGCTGATGCAAATGGTATATCAACATCATTTGAATTTGCATTTATCTTGTGTGCGATGTTGAATATTTTTTGCGTACATATAAATAAAAGTCAGTTGTATTTCTTTTTGTATGAAGTGTATAATTATATCCTTTGTAATTTTTTTTCTTTGGGTTTCTAGTCTTTTCCTTTTTGTTTTATAGGAGGCCCTTATTGTGCTATAAGAGTTAATTCGGGCAGGCCTAGAATCAGTCTGAGCAGTACTTCTAAAGTTCCTGCATGTAACTGACCTCTGGACAAGACATCAAATGTATTAATAGTGTAGCTTCTTTGTAATCATCAGTCTGAGAAATCAATCTGAGACAAGATTATGCTAGCTTATATGACATATAATTGGTGATTTGCCCCTGGTTACAAGGAGACCCTGAGAAGTCTTTGCTGTTGAGACTGGCTACCTTGCAGGAACAGGCACATGTGGTCAGCAAAATGTAAATATTCCCAACAAGACTCCGTTTGGGGCTCCCTGGTACCATGGTGTTCTGTGTACCCATCGGTGGTTTCTGTTTCAAGAGGGAAATTGTGTTCTGAAAGGACATTGCAAGGGGAGAAAAGGGTGCCTGCCTGCGCCTGGTCTCCCTGGACCTCTGTCTGTAACATATATCCTTACTTTAATGCTGTTGTTAAGTTATATCTTCTTTTTGTAATGAACTGTGGATTTTTACGCACTGTGACTTTGGGACTCACTGTTCTACAAGTCTTCTGTCACAACCAGTCCTGTTTAACTGACTCTGTTAGTGTACTTACATTTTGATAAAGTTCGCTTCATGTATGATATAAGCTACAGTGACATTTTCCCAGTTTGTCTTTTGAGTTGGCTCGTGGAAGTTTACCCCACATTGATTGGATTTTTTTGGTCATTTTTAGTAAAAGTTTTATGCCTGAGATTAAACTTCTATAAATTTATTTTATATTTACTTTTTGATGTTGCTGGAATTTTTTGTTGTAAATTATAAACTATGACTTCAACATTATCCCCTCAGATGACTACATATTTTCTCATATCATTTATTGAATCTTTCCTCCCCATATTCTTTATTTGCCATCTTCAACTTACTGTAAATTTCTAAAGAACTACTTCCTTATGCAGTGTTTCTATTGTTTTAAGTAAATTCAATTCACCTACTTATCTTTTCACACGTCAGCACCACACAGCCTTAGTTATTTTAGGTTTTTAATTTATTTTAATATAAGATAGGGCCAATCCTCTTATTTTCACATTACTTTTTAATTAATTTTTCATTGTTCTTACAATTCTGTCTAACTTATTAAGCAATTTTTTAAAAAAATAATGTTATAAAGTATCTATTCCTATTTTATTAAATATTTTTCTCAACATTGATATTGATTTTCTTTATCCTATTTGATTTTATAGAATTTCTTGAACTGGTGCCTTCATGTTTTTAATCAAATAAGGAAAATACTTAATCAATAAGTCTTATAATATTACTTTAGTCCAACTCTCTCTCTTTTATTTTTGGGTTTATGATTGCACATATGCTAGTTAGCTCCACCTCAAAGGGAGACTTGGCCACAGTTTTGCTCTGTTCCTAATAGAGAATATTAAGGGGAAGTTTGTGTATAAAAAAAGCAATTTGCATCTGCATGTACAGCTCCCAATTAATGGGTCAAGACAAGATTCATACTAAAACATTTAATTGCATATCTGTATATTCTGATCTGTTTTAGTCATCGACATTGCTACCAAGATGAAAATGCTAAAATCCAAAAGTCATGGACTAGAGAAAGCATATACTCATGCTCTGCCCACCTGTGGACAGAGCAAATAACCCAGGCTGTCAGTAGCTTTTTTTTTTCTCTTCTTAACAAAAGTCTGGATTTAACCAGAGTAGGGAGTAGGACAGTGGTGTTATTTATTTTATCTTATTAATAATTTGGCATGTGCAGACAATGAAAAATAACCTTCCTTTTAGGAATTTGAACTATCATTCTAAAATTTTTAATTTAGTTGAATATCTTAGATTAGCTATGCTTTTGAGGTTATTGTTTCTTTGTTTATTACCACTTGAAAAAGCTTGTATTACATAAAACTCTAATAAAACTGAGAAAGAGAGATGAGACTTTTCTTTACTTTCTCCCCAAGTGGGAAAGAACATATTGCACCTTTATTAGTGTTGGGGTTATAATCAATTTGCAACAAGTGAGGAATAAAGTTTAAACAACAAAATTACCTGGGGAACTATAATACAACATATTTTTATGATCAAAAGAAAGAAAATAAAAGCATTTGTTGTAAGATGTTATATTTTATGCCTAATTGATGAGTCAGGAAAATGAAAAAGAATATTTAAAAACAAATGAATAAATCCGAATTCTTAGGAAATATTTTGCACTATAGAGTTTTTAAAATAGTAAGATGATTAACATAAGTAATATGGTAGAGAAAAACAGAAAATACAAGAGCAAGATGGAAACAAGAAATTACTTCAGTTTACTTTTAATTTTACCAGTCCTCGTCCTCTTCCTTTTCCTCTTTACTTTATGATATTCTGTAATGTGTATATATCATGAATTTAAATGCTCCCTTAGTGACAGGCATTTGAGTTTTGTCGTATCTTTTGTCCCCCCCATTGTTATACATGCAGGTTTATCTACAGAAAAATTTTTCAGAAGTATGATTTCTGCGTCAAAATCAATTAACACAGTTTAAGATATCCAGAGTTTGTTAGGAACATGATTATCTTGGTTATCTAATATATTTTATAAACTATGCAGAAAAGAAAAATTAAGTATCCACTATACAGCAAGTTTTTGAGAACATGGAAAATTAACAATATGTTTCTATTAATATCTTACTATGTACTGTATGCTTTTGGGTTATAGAACAATTGCTGATTGAAAGTTAATTTATTTTCATATAAAAAACAAATTCTATATTCTAGTCATTTGACAATATTGCTTGGACATGTTGCATTTTCAGTTAACTTTCTAAAGTGTTTTTTTGTAGTTTCTTTTATCTTCTTATCCCAAGTAGTTTAAAAATTAACATTGAACTTATTATGTATAATTGATACTTAAACCATATCTTTTGATATTTGCAAAGTCACTTAAATATGAATTCATTTTTTAAAATATGGATTGTTTTACTTAGAATAAAATAGCACAATATTCCATTTAAAGTTCCCAGTTTTTACAGAAAAAACTAAATTATTATACGTTATTGACTTAACTGTTAGTTTTCCTTCAACTCTGCAAATATGCTTCCAGTATATTTACTCGATAAACAGATATTTAAATGTGAGTTTCTTTAAAAAAAATTGGCTAGCATTTGATATATATTAATATTATACATACACAATTTTTTTTTGATAAAGCACAGAGGGAAGATTGGGTGAAATAAGGAAATCTTTCTGGAATTTCTAACATTTATGCTAGCCTGTAAAATTTTATTTGAGGAGATAGACAAGGTTACAATTACTTTTTGAACTCCTACTAATTATTCAAACATTCCTCTCAGAACTATCAGGAAATGAATTCATAACTAACATGAACGAGGTCAAGTTTCTTATACTTTCCGGAAGAAAATCTGGACTCTTTGCTTCCTCATTTCAGGACTCATAATTCTCCCTGACCGGCTAATGTCTCCTGGATAGAGAAATGATTTGCTAAAGCTTGCAGGAAAGAAAAATTATCTCAACAATAACCTTCATCTCTGTCTCAGCAAATTTCTTAGTGCTAGAATGAGTGATAATAAAGAGTTTTAGTCATTTTTCTGGAAACTGTAGCTATATAAGTACTATATTTCATTAAAAATTTACTTGCTAGAGGTAAAAACATCTCAAATTTGAACTAAAGGGAATAAATAAATGTGATTAAATATTAGCCAAATAAAGTTCTCAGGCTTGTGTTAAACGTTAAATTGTATCTTGTCTAATATAAAGTGAAGAATGAACTCACTAAAATAATTTACACCAGTCAAGTTTAGAATAAATGTATATTAGCAAAGGGAGAGTATTTACTAAAATTTTTCACCTTGCATGTTTTGGCATGCTAACATAGTTCACAACCCGAATCATAATATAAGTAAATATTTACATTATTGTTCTCAAAGAGGCTTAAGGAGTTAGATTTGAGTTATACACTAAACAATTGAACATTAAAAGTTATAATGGCATTTAAGTGCTTAGAGTGTTACAGCAAATCAATGTTCCATAAATTAAATTAGGAAATAATTATTTTTGCCATTTATATGCATTTAGATGTTTGTAATTGATTTATTTATTCACTTATAAATTATGAAGTTGTATTTATTATAATATACATATATACTTTTATGTGAAACTACATTTCTTATATAATACCTATAGATTATTTTGAAGAGATCTTTTTATACTTACACTTAATACCCAAGAAAAGGGAGGTTGTTAATGAGCCCACGCAGAAAATGCATGATATCACCATCATAAGACATCGTGTTACTAAACAACGGTAAGGGACAATAAAATTGAGTTAGAAAAAGTAGGTGAAAGGGATGGGCCAGGATAAGACTAGAATGAGTGAAAGAAGGAATTAACTGTAGGCATTTCAACTACAGAATTGTTGAGGCTATGTAACTGTAACAGTAAAAAGAGAACTCAAACTTTTTGAAATTTAAGTTATAACTTGGATTACATTTGATTGCAAAAAAATCAAATTGAACGGACTTAATAACATACTTTTCTTACCCTCATATGACTCCACAACCTTGCTAACTGGTTATGTCTATCCTTTTCCAAAATATTCTAGAGACTGTAGCAAAAAAGGAAGAAAGCTTTAATTTTTGAAAAAAAAAATAATGTGTTGCATCTCCTCGTCTCTCTCCAGTGTCACTTGAACATGATTGGTTCAAAGATATTTCTTTTTAAACATAGTTTTGGATGAGGAACTTTTTTTCCAGGTAATTTTACAACTATTCTGGAAGGAAAAATGAAGATTGTGGAATTGGTTATATTCTTAACACTGATTAGGGAAAAATTGATAAAACTTATTTTTGGATGGTGTGGTTAGCTGAACAATGTACCAGACCAAGATACCCATGTCCCAGTCCCTGGAACCTGTAATGTTATCTAATTTGGCAAAAAAGACTTTGAAGATGTAAGTCAAGAATTTTAGGATGGGGAGATTATTCTGTTCTATCTGAGCCCTTATAAGTGAGAGGTAGGTGGTCAGAGTGACAGAGGGCAACACAATGATGGAAGAAGACATGAAGCTTCTGTCTTTGAGGAAGGAGGAAGAAACCATGAGCCATGAAAAGAAGAAATGCAGCTCTAGAACTGGAAACAAACAAGGGAATAGGTTCTCTCCTAGAGCCTCTCGGGGGAATGCGGCCCTATCAACACCTTGATTGCAGGCCAGTGAGACCTATTTCAGACTTCTGGTCTGTAGACCTGTAAGATAATACATCTGTGTTGTACTAAGCTCCTGCGTCTGTGGTAATTTATAACCTCAACAACAGGAAACTAATACAAATACTGAAATAAAGATAGAGTGACTGCTACAGCACACAGCTCCCAGCTGATGAGAACTTGCCAGTGTTTCGATGTCTGTTTTCTCTTTGTTTCTTAATATTTATCAGATAATTTGTGGAGTATTTTATACAGAAACGGAAATAATAAAAACATGATTTTTTCACTTTTCCCCCAAATCCAGGAATTCTTTGTCTTCGAGAAAAAGTACTACATATTTACCAAGTCCATTTTCTTTTTTATCTTTACTTACCTCTCTTACCTTTTTTTTTTTTTTTAATGTTAGTGTATCATGCACATTATCGTACTCTAAACTGGGTTACCTCATTAGAAAATTCACCTGGGTTCCGTATATAACTGGAAATAAAACATAACCACAAAGTCTTGGATTAAATAGAGTGGTTACCTGAACATTTGGTGGAAGACAGATATTTCTGATGAGAGTCTGGTGCTGGAGTATCCCATCGAAGGGAAGTGTAGATTTCTTCCTCCTGCATGTCTGAGGTGCTTGGACAGGTGGGACAGTCCACACAAGAAGCTAAAACAAGTAACTCTTTTTGCAGTCAGGAACAGATTGGTGAAAGAACTGAAATTGGCTGTTTTACACGCACTGTTTTGGGGTTTAAGGAATAGAATAGATGCATCTTCATCCAGAAAGTAGAAGTTTATAAAGTTTAAGCCAAAAACACAACTTGCTAAAGAAGGAAGTGAGAAAGGAACTGAATTCAAATGGTCAATGATAAAACATGTTATTGGTCTAGCTTCTAAGATGTAGCAGATGTTGAAGGTAATAGCGCTGGATTACTGTTCAAATGAAAATAAATGCAAAAAATGCACTTGTATTTAGCATAGAACATGAAGTATGGGAATGATCTAAATAGCAAAGATACAAGAATATGGGCAAACCAGGGTGTAAGGTGTCAATCACTGTGTATCCTTAAGTAAGAAAAATTTATTTTAGGGATGCAGTCCCTTCCCAGCTTTCTTACTTTATTTTGTGAACTGTATTATTTAGGCTAATGCAGATGCTGTGACAAGTAAATATCAACATATCCATCATTTAACATAGTGAAAGTTAATTTCTTGCTTACATAAGATTCTAGCTCCAGTAATCCTGGTTAGTGAGTAGTTCTCATCCAAATGGAACTCAGGCTCCTTCTGCCTTGTGAAACATTCAAGTCCTCTACTTCTAGCCATTGCAAAGGAAAAGAGAAGGTGGAGAATCCACATCTGCTTCTTCAAAGCTGTAACCTAGAAGTAACATTATCACCTTCACATGCACTAGTGTAATGTCCGTGTTTGGATCTGAAGGTTGGGCCTGATAATGTAATGTTTGCCTAGCTAGCAAACTTTCTATGACAACTTCCCTTTAGAAGGGAAACATGAATTATTTAACAGACAAATGGCCATTTCTGCCACATCCTGTGACTATTGCACTGGCATTGAGAAATTTGATACTTTGTCATTGGCCATGGGTCCTTGTGGCCAAAGGTCATATCTCAATAACTTACAGTGTGCAAATCCCAACAATTTGCAAAACTGCAATGTTCTCTTCTGTTTCAGGGTTTCACTAGATTAATCGTTGATCTCTGAACAGAAGGGAACAAATGGCCCTAAGGGGCAACCTAAGGACAATTAATACAGATGCTGTTTATTAAGTTTTGGGAAAGATTAACAGAAGCAAAAAAGGGGAGGTGACATACATTTTGGGAAGCTGTTATCACCCTTAGTCCAGTGGGGTTAAAGGAAGGGTGTGTAACGGAACCTTGTGATCTGACAGGAGCCATGGTGCAAGATAGAGAACACCAGCCCTTGTCAAACCAAGACATGGTAGAAGGAGAGCCAGGGGAGTAAGCGCCCTGACCACTGTCTCCTTTCGCCCTCTGGTCACTGACAGCACCTCCCTGTGCCTGACTTAGCTGGGAAGCCAGAGACCAACTCTGACCAAGTGACGGTATTCGTGTGTGTGTGTTCTGCTTCCCAAGGCGCAGGGTGCGGATAACAAGATCGAAAGGGGCAAATAAAGAGTATCCAGAAAATTCTCCAAGTATTTTATATGATTTCATGTGACCTGAGTTTCTGATCTGAAAAATAATTGTGACTTAATCAATGAAATGATTTCTATCTCCAAGGGAAAAAAGGAAAGAAACCAAAAATATATCAAATATACATTAAGACTCACATCAGGAACATAGTTCATAGTGTTGTCATTAATTTCTAGATTGTCTCAGATTTTATCACCACTGAATACCAAGCTAAGAAAGGTCTAGTTTTTCCAAATATAGTATAATCTCTAGTAAATTTCTTTCGGAACCATTGGGCTCTCCCCAAAAAAGATTAATATGTTACTTGTATTATATTTGATGGTTTTAATCATACAATTTTAATTATTCATTATACTCTAAGTACCGTTTCAAAGGGCTTTGAAATGAATTATTTTGATTATCACAACAACTCTATGAAATAGGTACTACTATTAGTGTATTGTAACTTAATTGTAAATTGAGGCACAGAGAAGTCAAGTTATTTACCAAAGTAGAAGAGTTAGTGTTTAAAGCCAGGTGGTCTGGTCACAGTACCTGTGCTATTCTGATTTCATATACAAAATGTTTTTGATACGAGTACCAAAAAAATAAAAAAGAATCTGGTTACATTTTTGTCATGCACTAAGATATTCAAAATTTTATTGTGCCACAGTGATGTGTAAATATGTTCTTTTTTTATTTAGGGGAGATAAAAACATTAGTGTCCAAAAATAAGACTGCTTTTTAGACAGTTTTTAGAATTATTAGTTCCTATTTAGTTTCTCTAAATGAACAAGTAAAAATAGAAAACTAATGATACTAACCCCCTCCAAACCAAGATCTCAAGACATTTAAAGTGGAAACAGAATCTGAGGTATTTTTAAAAATGTCTTTAAATGTTAGTATACAAAGTTCTAAAATTAATACATCTTTACTGTGTTCATTACATGTTTGGTACTTTACTCAATACTTTATATAATTACATTAATAATCCTCAAAACCACCTTATGAGTAAGGTAGTAATAGTAAACTCATTTTATAGGTGAAGAAATTGAATTTGAAAGAAACTAATTTACTAAAAGCCATGTAGGGTTTAAGTTCTAAAGCAATGTTTCTTGAACTGTATTAAAGTCAACTTGTAGGGGAGCTTATTAACAGATAGGGCTGTCTCCTCAGCCTTTCAACTGAGTACCGTAGCTATTTGCATTTGAGTATTTAATATTTTAACAAACATCTCAGTTGAGATGTTTCAGAATCATGTTGAGAAATTTTATCACCTCTAATTTAAGAAGAATGATTACCTTCAGGGAAGCTGTGGCAAGGAAATGCAATTTTTGCCTGTTATCCTGTTCTAGGGTGCCTCTCCACATATCTATAAATATTTCATGAGCTACTCAGCAAAAACCAAGTATAGAACTCTCAGGAAAAGAATTAGATAAGGTATTTTTGACTTGCTCTTCTGTCTCTTAGCTTATGGCCTTGTTAAGAACCATTTACTCATTTTTAAACCCCATCAGGTTTCTTGCAAACTTTATTTTCCTTCTTTGCACAAAAAAATTAACTGTTGTTGAGCCTTACAAGAGTTAGATTTGTCATAGAAATAATATTTGGACAGGGTTTTACTGCTTGTGGTGTTTTATAAAGAATTATCTCACACAATGAGAAGCAAATGTTTTTCTGTTCCTTGCGAGGCAGACACTGTGCTTGGTGCTAGGCATAGGACAGCAAATAGGAGGGTCATGGTATCCGCCCTCATGGAGCTCCTGATACAGTTATTATATCCTGATGAAGTTTTATTATATGTTGGAGAATTGTGAGGTATATATACTAGGTGTTACCTTATTTTAAGTACAGGAAAAAGGAAGTTAAAGAGACTACATGACTGGTCCATGGTTGTACTTTAGGTAAGTGACCACACCATCTAAATTAATTTACTGATTCCAAGTTTCGTATTCTTTCCACTACCATTTGCTGTCTTCCAAACTTAGGTATTTTATATAGTTTTCAAACTTGAATGTTTTTCACAGCTTAAGTCAACTATATCCTAACTTTTCTTGTTCTAATTTAAAATGTATGTGTTTATATCTGAAGATGCAGTGAGTCATACAATGTTGAGATAATTAGAAATGGAAGACAAGAAGAAAATTAATTGGAAAAAAAGAACAATTGGGAATCTTCTGGATATAGAAAAAGGGGACTTAGTAATCCCTCAGTGTAAAGGGTTATATAAAGAAAGGACTAAGTGGGGTTGGTAAAAAACATAATGTCAAGATGACTCCAAGGGGAATAAAAGGAAAAATAAGAAATTTTACGGCTAGTGATTCTTTCATCCAGATCTTTTATTACACAGTCAAGCATTTGCCTGTGACATCCTTTTTGCATTAAAATAGTTTGTTCACATTTGTCATGCCTGCTTTTCTCTCACACATGAAGTAATGTTTGTTCTGGCAGAAGGTAGGGTAAATTTTCCCATTATGAAAATAAGCACAATTCATATTGTCTCTTGCATTTTCAGAAAGTTCAAATCTGTGAATTAAAAAGGTAGAATGAGTTCCTTTGAAAGCCAAACAGTCAAAAATCAAACTCTGTGTGTACTTTTGTTACATAAAGTAGAGACAAAATTATGGGGGAAAGAAAGGTAAAAACAACATTCAGGTCACTGAGAGACTGCCAGTCTTCGTGGGAGTATAAACTATGTACATTTTAATTGCTCAATGGTAATTTAATATAGAATACGATTAAGCAGCAAGTGAACAGTAGGTGCAATAGTAGTCTAGAGGAAGAAGTGGATGGGGATCTGAGGTGATTGGAAACAATTTATCTTTTTATATTTTTGTAGATGATGCTTTAGTTCTGTCTTGAAGGAAGGGTAGTGTTTAGATGAGCAGAGAAGGGACAGGAGAGCAAATAACTGCACAGAATGGAAATGAGCATGGAAAAATAAGTTGATTAAGTATTTTTGAAATAAAGGTTTATGTTATTACATAGCAGATATAAGACAGTACACTATACTGCAGTTGCCTGTTAACTTGTTTATATTTTCTGTTACACTGCTTATGATAAGAAAACAAAAAAATGTATATTTATTAACTCATTTGCCAAATATCTCTGGGATACCTAGTGTGTGCCAAAGTTGTTTTCTGTGGCGGTGATAAAGTGGTTAGAAAGGATCTACTGGGGAACTTACATTATAGTTGGGGGATACTGATTTGTTGAAAGAACAGAGGGATATTTGCTTGCAATAATATGAACGAGTCACTGAGTGATAAGAGATAAAGTCCAAGGTCTATGAAAAGGCTTGCTGTAGTTGTAGCACCCTAGTCTCCTACTCATAACAAATACTTATATAACTATTTGCAAATAAATTAACTAAAGATTTAAGTAATAATCAGATTGTACAAATTTTGGTTGATCAGTTTAATTTTTAATGAGAGACATTGCAGTAATGATGTATAAAATGAACAAAAGGTACTGAGACTAAAGATTGGAAAGCCACATTAAAAACTCAGCATAACTGGCTCCTTTTGCCTGGATTATTTGTAGAAGGATGGAGCCTTCTGACAGGGACATTAGAACCACCTTGTGAATGATGATGTGCCTGATTCTTGGAGACTCATAGGGTGAAAGATTAGGTAAATGTTACTGGAAAGTCAAAAGAACCCACAGACAACTTTCAACTGTAAAATAGTAAGGATAATTTTGTTCTAAAAATATGTGAAAAGAAGTAGATTAAGGTAAAAAAAGGTATAAAATGTTCTGTAGTAAAGAGTGAAGTGGTCAATAGAAATAAAGAAAAACTATTGGCAATAGGGAAGCTTGGGATAAAGAGCAGAGGACTGAGAGAATAGAAAAAGTAGAATTGTCTTACTACCAGTGTTCTCTCATGGGGATTAGGGTGTCAATGGCTCAGCATCTACTTATATAACTTACAGTTGGGCATATGGCCACCTCCCAACTTTTAAGTGACTGGCACTCAAAAAGGCAGAGTATCTCAGGAATAAAAATTGCTAGTTGTAACGTGTGAGTTTCCAATGACTTACATATTTTTGGAGGGAACTGAGCCATCTTCCCACTTCCAGGCTTCTTTGGAGTTCTGGCGGGACAATCCAACCCAACGAATTAATGAAGTCCTGCATTTGATGTATTTCTGTTGGAAACACAGATAAATATAATGGTCAGAATGCATATACAGTTCTTTAAATACATAAGGACAAAAGCTTCATTATAAGACTCTGAAACAAAATAAAGTTAGATTATATGTCTATGTTAATATCAATTAATTTTATTTGATATTTAGAATTGTAGCAAGTTCACTTGTAGAATGAAAAGTACTCAGTAAAAAAAATAGATAATTTTTACTGAGCTTGATAAGGTTCTCCAATGAGCACAAACTTGAAGGCATGTTTCACTTCTGATTTTTTTTCCTTAAGATTTCAAAATATTTGACATGGAAGTCTCCTTACCAGAATGTTCTGACTGGGAATCTTCAGTAGAGTAGCATTCTTGTTGGTACAATATTGTTTACTCTCTTCCCAGGTTAAGTTGTGCCTGAAGAATCCATAGCAACTATCTCCATAATGTCTCCAGTTTTTGTCACATGGGCTGCTTTTATTGTCTTAAGGAGAAATCAAGCATAGGAATCGTTTGATTCTAAAGAGGACTTACTTTTCCCCCAAATTCAGTGTTTCCTACAAATCTCAAGATTTCCTATGGATAGCATCACAGAAATACTTCAGAGATAGAGGAGATAAAGAGGTTACCAAATCATACTTACTGAAATCATCTTTTTGTTCTGATTGTTTTATTAAATCTTGGCAGGACAGGTTTGTTAACTGTTGTGGAGTTGCTGAGATATTTTTATTCTCAATTTGTAAGCAGTTTCGGTGCATGAAAACTAAATGTAAAAAATTAGTTAATAATTTGTAATAAAGGATAATAAGGGTAATGCAAAGACCTTTCAATAAAGTAATTTCACTAAGATTATCAATCTATGAAGCATTTACTAGAGGCGGATGAGTCAATGAGTGCTGAGAGGGGATCAGGGGAAAGGGATGTACAAAAAAAGGAAAACTGACTGCTAAAGTTTATCCAAAAGAAAAAGTGAACTATTTGAAGGAGATAATCACAAATAAGAAAATGTCATGATCAAATCACATGCCCACAACAAATGTTTTAAAAGTTTCCTTAAATAGAGATTTCTAAGTGAATTTCACAAAGGTGAATAAACTCTGTTATTTTGTTTTTCATGTAATACTAAAATATCCATTTATTTTAAAAATACATATTGAGAGTCATGGAAACAAGGAACAAACTGACAGGGACCAGAGGGGCGTGGGGAGGGGGATAAGGGAGGAAAGAAGGTTGAAGGGTCTAGTTTAAGAACAAGTATAAATGACCCATGGGCATGGACAACAGGGTGAGGATTGACCATAGGAGTTGGGGGTTGAGTGGGGCAGGGGAGAGCAATAGGGGGAAATTAGGACAACTGTAATAAAACAACAATAAGAAAGAGGAAATTTTGAGGTAATTTGTTATATATGTACATATGTATGTATTTGGAAACTATTTGGATACTAAAAAAATATGTATTGATTTTTTTAATGCTGAAAGTACTGGGATATTCTGGTAAATAAAAAATGGTGAATGACAGACTCTGAAATATCATTAAAAATAAACAAGAGCACAAGCAACAACTCCACTGATGATAATATGACATTGGAGGGCTTTTAGGTCTATAGGAAGAAAAATATTTATGTTGGGTGAATTATGACTTATCTCTTAATGGAAGTAAATACATTCACTAAACAAAATGGGAAGGAGGACATTTTAGGAAGAGGGAATAGAATGAGCAAAATCTCAGGCAGAGGGACAGAATTTATTTGTGACACTGATAAAACTCCATGTTAGCTGGATCTTAAGATATGCACAATAAGGGAGAAAAGTTTCAAATGATAATGTGGGTCTATGCTGAGAAGAAACTCAAGGCCCAATTTAAAGTTCTTGAATGTAATTTTTAATTAATTAAAAAAATCTAAAAGATGACTTTAATCAGAAGGGAAAAGTCAGAGTTTCCCTTTAATGAATCTTGGCAGCGATGTATAGGAAGATTGGAGTAGTGACAAACAGATAAATAGTGACAGTTAAGCTTAGTGGCACCCACAAGGACCCTTAGATATCGCCTTTCTCAGATGTAACCTTTGGCAATGAGTCAGTACTTACACATAACCCCCAGAACCACGAGCATGACCACTAGCCCAATGCACAAAGCCAGCAGAACCAAAGCCATCACACGCCACAATGATGAAGAAGCAGGGTCAACTGTGGGCATACAATAAAGATGACAGGGGGCAGGCATTATGGCATAGTTATGGGACAATGATACTCCTGGCCCTGCCCTCTCAGGATTTTCTGAGTGATGTAAACATCATTGGCAGATCATGCCAGTGTTCTCCTGGTGATCATCAACAGTAAGCACAACTCTCTCCCGCTTCTCACCTCCATTCCCATCCTCAGAGGACTTCTCTCAGAGTTGAAATACAACTAGCTGTTAAGATCTTGTGTGTTTGTCTTTGTTTTGTTTTTTCATAACCCCCATAAATAATTGCTTTAATAAACAAGACCTAGAGAATCATAACCATTTGCTGACATCTTTAAAAAATAGAATTTTCAAACATTTTCTCCCTTTATCCCCATGGTTTCTATTCCCTCTGGCATTAAATTGTATAAACCTAAAGTAGTGTTCCATGCTTGCATCTTTTCTTGTTTGTATTCTGAACAAGTCTATCTGAGCCTATGCAGATACTATTCAAATGCTATAGAAAAAGGTTATTCAGGAAAATAAAAATATATGTGCTATACTAATAAAAAAAAGGAGGGGAGAACTAGGGTTGGCCCTTTCAATAATTAATTTTCAAACTACCAGCTCTGGGCATTCTTACCTGAGGTGAGAGCTGGTTTTCCAGTTTTGATATTTAGGGTCATGTATCCATCTTCATCCTGCATGGCTTTCTTTGCACTGCAAGAGAGCTCAGGGTCCAATGACTTGGCAAAATGTAGTGTCCACTTTTATGATTTCAGTGTCTGTCAGTCTGTGATCTTCTTCTCTTTCATAAGGTGGAGCCATGCGTTGGAGCCTGTGTTGTTTTTTTCTTTTTTCTTTCTTTCTTTCTTTTTTTTTTTTTTTCTTTTCAGGAAGCCCTTTCCTAGCTTCTTACAGATACATGAACCTTGAACATAAAAACACAAAAATAATAATAATATCTTGTAGAAATGAGTACATAACAGCATTTGTCTTTTGTTTCCTTTTCTTCAACTCTAAAAGTATATCCTCCCAAACAAAAATTCATGCTTGATCTTAACCTTAAGAGAGTCTGAATCATATTGTTTAAATGAACTAATTTCTGATGACAATTCAGGGGTAAAACAACAGCAAATATATAGTCTACCTCCTTGTGAGGAAAAATCTAATACCATTTGATCTAATATGGGTTAAATTAGATGTTAGAAGGGATGATTCTTAATTTTGACCTAGAACTCAACCAAATGCTTTCATCTTTCTCAAATCAAATACTTCAAAAATTCAAGGACTCCACATGAGGCAAACTTCATATTGCTTAGGTTTCAGTGTCAAAGGAAAACAATCAAATAAAGTGAAATAGTGCAGAATTAGTGACTTGATGTATTGCCTTTGAGCAATGTTTGCACTTTTAAGTGAATTTCTAGGAATGGAAAAATTCCTAATTTAATAAAAATCATGTAATTTCAAGTATAGTGGTGCTATACTTGAAGAACTATTTTAGAAGAAGGGATGGTTGCCTTGTGCTCTTTACAACATAATAATATATTCCACACATTTCACTTTATAAAGTGAATTTTTAATTGTTATTTTAGCTTTCATTGGAAGTATTTATAAGAACAGCCAGAGAAAGCTAGCTGCTGTACTTACTACAGGAATATTGGTCAGGGTGTTAATCCACTTTGTTGTTAGTATAGTTATTATATTTTTTATTAAAACTTCATGGCCAGGAAAGCTTCCCTTCTTCTGAAACTATTGGGAACTTGTCTTCTAAATGATCTTATTTTTACTTCAGTTAGTAGAGTATTAGGTTTTACTTCTCAATATAGTAATATCTCATGGCAGGTATTTTGTTTACTTTCCTATTAGCGCATCTTGCACACATATTTTTTCTCCCTGTTATCTCTTTCATTCTGAATTTTTTGTTGAGTCACTTAAAATAATCTTTTATTTTAAAACTCCTTTCTATATACACCTCAAATTATTTGGAGAATGGAGTAAAGAATAAACCAAGCAAGCATGAAAGGCATTGTTGATTTCAAAAACCTAAACTTAGCATGACATGAGTATTTTCACCAAAAACCAATCTTTTATCAAAAATCTAACTTATTTGAAATAGAAGTCAAATTTGATAATGTCTAAAAGTTAAGTAATCAAAATTTTAGAATTCTTAACCCCATTTTTGTCACTGAGGTACTTATCTCAGTTGCATTATTCAATAGTTCCCAATTATAAGCATGGTAAATGTAGGTCATTCTGCCATTTATCTACCCCTGATTCTGTTTGAGTAATTTCTGTTTCAGCCAGAGCAGACTCTTCACTCTTTCTAACAGTGGGTGATCACCCTCTCTCCCATTGCCTGCATCTACTCACAGACCAGGTCCTGAGGTTTTCCTCTTACCTTACTCTTCTCATTTTTTTTTCTGACACTACCTTACTTTAGTGACTTTTTCCCCTGAAATATACAGAAATGACACCTTTTCAATAAAGCCTGACTGTTCTCTTAGTAGCCAAGTAGGTAACTTCTGAAAATTTACCATTAAATTATATTAAATATGTGAATGAAAGATACATAAACCTTTGGAAGCCTTTATATTTATTGCAAACATTCTCTTGTTCAATTAACAGAAAATGTAAGAAGGTATGAAACAGAAGAGTTAGCTTGTTTTGTTGGAGTTTCCATGCTCTCTAGGTCTTGGGCAATTGGATTAATTATAAAAATATGCCATTTGCTCCTTTTATAAACCATTAGGAATATGCCAGTCTTGCTTCTTGATCCATAAATGCTTAAAATTGTACATGTAACATCAGAAGTAGGTAGAACTAAAATGGATAACACTAAATTGAGATGATATTAATTTGCTATACTCATCTTCTAGACTGTAATTCATATTGGTTTTGGGGTCTTTGATAATTCTAGCCACAGACTGGGGGTCTTATGTCTGGATCTATCTTTCATAAAAATATGTTTGCTTTAATTTGTATTCTCCAAGCATGGCTTTGTGGTGTTAAATGTATGCTGGTTGAGTACAGAGACTCCCAGGCTCAAAGGAGTTTCTGATAACATTTAATCTTAATTCTGCTTTCTCCCTCCACCTATCCTATAAATACAAGCTGAGTTTCTCAGCGACAATTAATCAGAAAGCTGCAGGAAAAACAAGTAGATATAAAAAATTTTATTTTCCATTTTTCAAAATCCAGGGGCTTTGCCAGCTATCTCTTAATCACACTGCAAGACATGTCATTGACAGATTTTATTTTTGCTTACATATTTTATTATTCCCTCTTTTCTTAGTTCAAGAAACTGAAAAAAGCTGAAAAAAGTTCTTTAGTCCAAACAGCCCTATAAGTTTGAATTTGGAATAAAAACCTTTATTTGTTTAATATTTTAGAGATTAAGAGGCACTTTTACATAAATTACTTTTACTTTAAAGCAAATAGTTAAGTAATATTTATTACGTTTCAAACTTTCAGATTGATAGTATTCATAGAGAAAGTCATGGTGCTAGTCCTATGAAGCATAAACTCTTAGGTCTCTTTCTATCTAAACTTTATTCTTCAGTATTCAGTATTTTCTTCACCTCACCACACACCAGCCCACAATCTTGCCCCTCTTCTTGCATTTTATCTTTTCTGTAGCATGTATAGCTGTCTGACACACATAAACTCTTCCTAGATGCTTAAATTTTTGTCATTTATCCCCTCAAGAGTGCATTCCATGACTCTAAAACACTGACTGGCATACAGTTATATCCAGTAGATATTGGTGAATGAATGAATGCATGTAAGTACAATGGCACATTGACTCTACATGTCAAAAGAGAAGTTTAAGGAATCTTGGGACTTTTCTATGATCACACTTCTTATAAAAAACAGTACTTTCTACTCCAAGTTCCTCCCACTACAGCATGATGTCTTTTAAACATAGCATTGTCCATACTCCATGATCTATGCTGATAGCTGAAGAATGAGTAAAAGACATCAGGATCACAAGGAGAAGTTGTAGATGCAGTAAGAAAGGATATTAGTGAAATGCATAATATGGTGAATAAGACTAATCAATGTATAATGGTGGTTAGGAGATGTGTGAAAGGAAAAGACAAAAAGAAAATAATCTTGACTATTATGAATGCTATAATAGTGTCTTGAAACTGAAAAAATATGGAGAAACTGAGCATTTTGCAGATAGTCATATCTTTTTATAGACTTTTTAATGTACACCATCTTTAAGCTAGTCCTGTGGTGCACTTACTGGTGATATCTTGTCCCCTCTCTCAGTCTTTGGAATTAAAATTTTATTTCACCTTTTACTTACTAACCTCTTGCACACATTAAATACTGCTTATTTTCTGGGAAAAGTTAGGATTTCCTGCCATAAAAAAGGCATAACTAATACTTTTTTTTTTTCATTTTCAGCAAGCTTAAACATGTGAATCAAACCATAAAATTAGCTTTATTACATGTTAATGAATTAAACAATAAATAATGATCAGACAGCAACTGTGACAGAGCATTTTGTTACACATAGTAGAGAAAATAAAGAAAAAAACATGTGTTAGACTGCATCTGTATCACTGAGTTTATCACACACACACAACATCTGTAAATAAACAAGTTAGAAAACGATCAAATGGAATATATAAAAATTGAAGAAAAGGCAAAACTTGTATAGAAGAGAAAAAAGAAGCAATGTTTTTCAGGAGGGCAAACATCTAAACAAAAAAATGAAGTTTGAATAAGTATAATGTGATCAAGGGCAAGTGAATTAAACAAATTTAAACTGAAGATTCATGTCACAGCATATTCGAATATAAGGTTTCCTCTTAAAGTCATGATAAAATTTACATGACAGGGACAATTAATAAATCAATTATTTGAACATATGTTTATTAATTACTGTGTGTGTCCTAAGCGCTCTTCTATTTTCTTGAGATCAAGTTATAAATGAAACATACAGAGTAGTGTTCTTATTGTGCTTATATTCTAGTGGAGGGTTGTGAACAGAGATAGCAAAGAAATAAAGAAAGGAAAGAGCAAGATAACTTCAGAACATGATAAATGCTATGAAAAAAAATTCATGTAATAGATCTCTACTGGCCAGGCTTAGGGCAGACCCTGGTTGTGATTATTTGAATTGGTTTGTTTAACTTTTACTAGAAATGCTTGGGCAACTGCACAGGTTTCTTCCATTTTTAAGGTCACCCAGAACAACTTAAGCTTACTTCTGATATAGTAACAGTGATATCTACCATTTATTATTTCTTCTATAAGCTTGCATTAATCATTTTCATAGTGGGTACTATATTCATGCCAGTTTTAATAATAAAAAAAATAGATCACAGAGGTTAAGTGACTTATCAAAAGTCACAAGACAAACAAAATGTTGATCCAAGATTTGAATCAATCAGTCTGTCCTCCTAGCCCTTTATTTTAATCAGGATATTTTATTACCCTGATAGGAGGAGGAATAGCCATTTCAAAATAGATTCTAGCCATTACTCATCCTCTGGCTCCTCCTTGTGGCCAGTTTTCTTCTTTCTGCTTTTATCTTCATTTTCTGGGGGTCTTCGATGCCTCCAATTTTAATTTTCACTTTTTCCTTCATCTCTTCTTGTAAATAATTTTGAATTAATTCTCATGTGGCCATTCTTTGGGTACTGTCCGATATAGACTCTTCCTTAAAAGTTCTCCGACATAGGCAAAACCTCGGGGGATGGAATGATCATTGAAGAACAGAATGAGAATATAACTTCCTATCATGTAAATTCAGCATTTCTTTTAAGTACCTCAACTCAACAATATTTATATATTAAATATTGGTTTTTTCTTTTTTTTTTTTTGCCATGAGCAGTATTTTATGATTTTTTTTTAAACACATGAAAACAGCAAAAAATGTCAAAGGTGATTCTAAATTTTTGACTGAGAAAGTTTAAGAAGTTTTTATTTACTGAGATTGGAAAGTATAGCATGAAATACATGAGGAAAGTAGCTCATCTTTCATGTCTCAATGAGAGGGTTGGTTTTGTTAACATTCCGTCCTCTAGCTGTATTTCTTGGCTCCTAGATTCCCTCTTCCATCTTCAGCCAGCAACGTTGCATTTCTCCAACCCTTCTGTGTCATCACATCTCTCTGACTGCAACAGAGAGAGGTCCTCCATCTCTAAGGACTCATGTGATTAAATTGGGTCCACTCAGATAATGCAGGTCTGTAATCTTAATCACATCTGCGATGTATCTGCTGTGGAAAAAAAAAAGTCATATTCAGAGGCTCTGAGAATTAAGACATCTATGGGGGGCTACTGTTCTGCCTACCACAAATTCTTAACAACAGTTTACTTTTTTATATAAATGAGTAAACTTTATGGAAAGTTATGGTGGCATTATACAGTCCTTTAAGAGCTCTGGGTCTGATGCCTATTGTGACTAAATGAGAACCACACATGCAATATGCTGTTTTTCTTATGTTCTTCCAAATAATAACCAGAACACTTTCTTTATAAACTGTCAACTCATTATTGCTCATGCAATGTGTTCGAAACTTAGAATATCACAGTGTAAATCCTTGTGCAATGAGCTTACTTCAATTTTATTGGAAGCATTTCTTCAAGGCCTTTTTAGGTCTAAGACAGAAAAGTAGAAGTTGACTTTTTTTTTTATCAAGTTATTTATTAATGAAATGTAAATAAATTGCTGCTTAAAGAGACACCAAGGCATAAAGACATGCTAGAGGTTCTCCTATATCAAGTGTACTAAAAGAACATGCAGCACTATTCATGTCTGTGGCTGGCCCAAATGCCATCTCCCAATTTTTCATACCTGAAAGGCTATATGTTTTCCATGGGAGTTTTAGCTACCTTGCAACAGTGACCATGGGCTGCCCTCAGGCCCAAACCAACCAACCAAACAAATTAAAGACAGAAACAAAAGCACCATGTGCACCTCTCATGTTCTCCAGAATCTGCCTGCTGTTTTCCACTCCTCTGAAAGTTCAAGCAGTTATTTTCTAAAATCTCATTCTGAATATTAGTTTTTATTTGCAGGAAGATTATTCTATTAGGAGTTTCGCCATACCAGAAGGGAACTCCATTCATATACAGTTTTAATAGCTATCAATCGCTTCTCCATGCACTACTGCCAATGCTGCAGACACCTTTCAAGTCTCCCTTTCTCTTTTCCTCCCCTCCCCCACTTGAGTATCTTAAAATACCAGCCAGATGTGGGTGGTCTTTAACTATATTGCTCTCAGTACATGTGACTACACACCTCTTCCTGCCTCAGTATTTGTGGCTGCTTGGTATCTAATATAGATGAATATAAATCACATCCAATGTGTCCATACAGAATTAGTTGTCTTTTAACACATCTAAAGAGGACAACCTGACCCTCTATTGAAACATTGACAATCATGGGATTTCCTGCATGAAATCACCATTCCTGCACTGACTCCAAGTACCACTTCTTTCCTTCATAGCAAGAAACAATGAAAAAGAACAGACAGTTTGAAATCTATGACATACTGATTTTTAAGGAAAATATTTGGCTTTCTCTGCAGAAAAACTGATTGTCACTCTGTCCTTATAGAGGTTGCAGTGGGATGTGCCTTGGGTCAGTTGTGTGTCTAAATCAAAGCTCCCAGCCTTGAAAAAAACATTTTGTTCCAGGCCTGAAGATACTGAAACATTAGTTGCACAGTTTACAGTAGTGCTTTCTCCTAAAATGTCTGAAGAGGTGACCTATGCGACACTCACATTTCAAGATTCCCTGGGAGCTGGAAATAACCGGGATAGAAATGATCTAAGGAAAAGAGGTAAGGATTCAGAGAAAGCAAGACTTGACTTCAGGTGATCGACAGATTTTTAATGCTTTGAGGTGCTGGTTTTGATATTGATCCTGAAGAGAAGAATGCTGTGGAAGCTTCAAAATGGAGACAGTTATGGAATATATTAGTAGAAAGAGTGTTCTCAATATTGAGGAAATTGTGTAATATCACTATGTTTTATGAAGCCCTGTGTTATAGTGAAAAATGTTAATTAGACATGCCAGAGGTTGACTTTGGGGACTAGGAGGTTTCTTTTCATAAATGTAGTCCTTGATATATATACTTTATGAGAGGTGCCAGATGAATGTTCTTTGGAAGGCAGATTGGAGGCTTCTAAAATAGAGAAGGTGGAGGGAATTTTTCTTTTCAAGGATATAAATAACTAAAGAGGAAAATTGGAGGATGAGTGAGTCACAAATAGAAAAAAGATAGCTTCTGTTTTATAGTATTTTAAAAAATTAGGGAGTTGAAATTCCCAGTATAATTAGTAGTGTTGAATCAATAATAATGTCATTTTTAGTATTTTATATGCAGTGTATTACTTGTTTATTAAAATATGGTTGCAAAGTAAATGAAATACTATTAGTACTTTTTTCAATGTATTAATGAGGAAACTGAGTCTGAAAAAAAATTGAATGATTTAACACATTTACACAACCATTATGTGGTGGAGTCCAGACTTGGTTCTAGCCTTTCACTAATTCCCTTACACATAGTTGGAGAGAACAGTGGTCTTTGTGGGCAGGAATACAATTTAATATATCAGACTACATCCTTCACCTTCAAGAATCCATTGACTGTTCAGGTTGTCCTGAATCATCTAAAATATATGTACAGTGCTTTCCTCTTTGGATTTATTTTTAGTTTAAGCATATGTATGTATCTCTGTGTGTGTGTGTGTGTGTGTGTGTGGTGTTTAAGAGAGGGTGATGCACAAAAGAAAAGGATGGGAATTGACTTTGCATGTGTCTAATAAAGATGGCTATACATTATTTTGTAGAAAAATGTAACTTTAATCTTTGAGAAAGAGGGAGTAGTGGATGTGATATATATAATAATGCAACTGGAGATTATATTAATCATTCTGAAAGAGTATGTCAGATGCCATTAGATCCTGAATCAAAGAATAAGAAAGTGAGGCAAATAGAAGAACCATCTGTGATATATAGAGGGTGGGGCAAATTTAGGGTTTCAGTGGTAAATACGTGAAACACAGAGTTTATTCTTGTATTATTGTCTACTAATTATTGTATTATTTGCCATACAATCATAAACCTACAGTTCCGCCAACCTGTATATAGAATATTAAATTTTGAAGAGTTATCCACAGGCTTTCTGTTTTTTTCCTGTGGTTTGTAGGTTAGATTGCACATTGATTCCTTCTTTCATTCAGTATTGATTCATAATTTACCAGGTGATAAATAAAATAGGTAATAGGTAAAAATTGTGGAAGTGTGTAATTTCAAAAACTTGGGATCTCTTCTATTGTTAGGATCATCCAGGGAACCACTTTCCACAATAGCTTGTTTGTGAATTCAGTAAATTTGAAGAAGAAAGGCATGTGATTAAAACAAAAAAACAACCTACACCTTAGAATACGATCTTAAAGGAAAGGAGGAGGGAAAAAAAAGAAGAAAAGAAAGAGAAATCATTATAAATAAATAAATGAATGAATGAATGGAAGAGGACTGACGGTGGGGCCCTCACAGCACATTGTTTTAGGTATTTTCTATGTAGGGGCATTAAAGAACCTTAGGAAGCTTTCTATGTGGGAAAAATGAACAACCATGTCTAAACCATAAGGAAGTTCTGTTTGCTCATCCCTCTGTCGGCGTTCTTCAGGGTATCCAGCTCCACCTCCTACATGGCGTTGGGCAGCCCTGAGTCTGCTAACTCTTTGTCTGTTGCTACTGTTGGGACTGGTGACCTTGGGGATTATGTGTAAGTATCCTTGCATCAAACCCAAGAGAGGTGATTGGGAACCCATTCGTAAACTATGTAATTTCAGGTTGGATTATGTGGGAGGTGCTACATCCTGAATGCTCTAATACTTTCTGCTACTTGCTATCTCTCTCATTCTCCATGTCTTCAAGGCAAACCAACAGGGAAAATATTATTATCAGGATTATATCCCAAATCCATTGCTTTTGATAACCTTGACTAGGCTGTGAAGACAACTTTTATTTTTCCAGTTGGTAGAGGTTGGTATAAGGAGTCTCTTTTCTGCACAGAAACATGTCCACTTATCATCCCATGACCACTTATCAACGGTGAGAAACAAAAAGCTAAGGGGAGTGGAAAGCCAAGGAAGAGCATGCCATTTTATTTATCTCTAAGGCTTTGTGAGAGACTGGCTTAATCTGCTCACCCAAGACTTTTCTAGAATAGAGACAGCTTCTAAGCAGGAACAACAGTCTGCCTGCTATAAATGAAAAAGGTATACAAACAAGAAGGAAGAGATGTCTGATATACCTTATCTGGTAGATAGAAATTTCTACCCCCTCCAACAGTGGCGGATCCACTCCCAAGCACAATAGTGAAAAAATAGTATTTTCTTTATTCTGGCCCATCATTGGACAGTCAGAGCTGGACAGAATAGGGAATCCTGAACTAACAATTGCAAAACATCCCGAGAACACACAATTTGTAGGATGTTGTTAAGTATGGGATATACAGAATAATGAATTAGCACAGTGTTCAATATCAGGGAATTTACAGTCAAATTTGTGGTCATTACTTGTTGTATGGTACCAACATCTCCTCTGCTACTTTCATTTATTTTTACATATATAAAATCTCATGGATAATTAGGAATTAGAGATACCTATTTGGACATATAAATAAAAGCTAATGATGTAACTTGCTCTTTTAAAAAGAAATATAATGTTCTAATAGCAGTAACAGATATTCAGTAGCCAATCATAAAGATTAATGGGTGATCTACAGTGATACATGTTTTAAAAAATGAAGATACAATGTGTTTTCATTGGTTCTCCATAGAAGAATGAATTTTTTTTTCTCCTAAAGTGCAGTGCTTTGAGTGCAATGGTTCTTAAATTTATTTTGTTGGTCAATCAACTCAAGTCTTTATTTAAAATGCAAGTTTTATGGATCTAGGACCAGAAAAAGATCAAGTATGATATTAAAATCTTGTTTTTTTTAAACAAATGTCCTAGGTGATTCTGATGCGAGTGATCTGTGGACCATACTTTGAGTTACTCATTGCCCCCAAAGGGTCCCGTTCCTATTAAAACAATTACACAAACCATCTCCGAATGAATGGCAAAGTGGCTGGCACTACCTTAGACGAAATGTGGGAGATATATAAGTTTTAATTCATTATTTTAATATGAGAACAATAATAATTAAAATAATATGAAATTATAAAGATGAGCTCTAAACAATTTTAAAAAGAGAGGCATCTGGTGCATTTCTTCCACAATACCTCTATTATTAGGAGTTATTAATAAATCTTAAACAGTGTAAGAAATACTTCTGTGTTAAGAGAACTATCGATGGCTATCATGGGAATGGAAGGATGTATGAACTTGTCTTCTGTTATGTCTTGGAGTTTTGCAGACCTCTAATGAAATTAACTCAGGGTCAGAGAAATTCAGTCAACTTCAGAAAACTATCCACCAACAGCAGGATAACTTATCCCAGCAGCTGAGCAACTACAGGAACTTTTCCACAGAGGAGGAATTTCTCAAGTTGCAAATCTCCAATCTATTGAAGAAGCAGGGACAAATGGCCATCAAACTCTGTCAAGAGCTAGTCATTCACACTTCAGGTAATCAGGACCTGCTGACGAGTCAGATAGCATCTGTTGTCCTGGCTTAGGTTAATTATGTGCACCACCTCTGGAAGTATGGGGGCGTCACGCTACCCAGTGGCCACTAACAATGTCACATTGTCTTTACAGAAGGCAAGGGAAAATAAAAATTTATTTTATATTTTTGAAAACACAGAGGCAAATTTGGGGAAACATTGTGGAATGATATCAATAAGGATACTTCAGCCTCTCACTTTATAAATTATTTTTAGGGAAGCCTGTTGTTATAACAAGTTAAAGGTATAATTGATGATTCTAAGGCCAGAAGACTGAGCCTTGAAAAGAGAATTTCAATCACATAATCAGGGTGACTTCATTTTGATAGTCTCCTAAAGCAGCATGTTTTCAGGGTGCTGGGTCTCAAACCTATTACCCAATTAAATAATTTAGATTCCAAAACCTTCCCCAATCACTCCAAAGTTGTTTTGTTTGTACTTTTGTATATAATTTCTTTTTCAGACCACAAATGTAATCCTTGTCCTAAGACGTGGCAGTGGCACCAAAACAGTTGCTATTATTTTGCAACAAATGAAGAAAAAACCTGGACTAACAGTAGAAAAAACTGCATGGACAAGAACTCCAGCTTGGTGAAGATAGACAGCTTGGAAGAAAAGGTCCGAATTGCATTTCCCAATTACAGAAATTATTCATATAATGGACAGTAAATAAATGGAATTTCTGATTTACACAGTAGGAGTTTAGGGCATTTTGAATGAGAATTAATAAATGAATTTAATGTATGTTCCAATTTATCTTACTTCTGTGAAGGGAAATGTGGCTCTCATGTAATATTTTTCCTTTTCTCTGTCAGGATTTTCTAAAGATGCAACCATTACCTCAGTTTTCTTTCTTCTGGTTGGGATTGTCATGGGCTCCATCTGGCGGAGGTTGGCTGTGGGAGGATGGCTCTATCCCCTCTCCATCCTTGTAAGTGTCTGTCTGGGAAAAATTCCAAGTTAAGGAAACTAAGAAATGGAATACTGAGGAGATAAATGTTCTGATTTGTATTTCACAGTAGTACTGATGTGGAACATCTTTTCATTTGCCTGTTGACCCTCTGTGTATGTCGTCCTTGGAAAAATGTCTATTCAGATCCTTTGTCCATTTTAAAAAATTTTGGTGGTGAGAAAGCTACAGTGTATACAGATATCAAATTATAATGTACATCTGAAACTTAGATGTTATTAATTAATGTGACCTCAGTAAAAAGTTAATTATAAGAATTACAAACCTAGACACACAAAAAAGAGTACAACGTACAAAGAAAACAGAGCTCCAGTCTCAAATACTGAAAGGAGGAGTGCCTACTTTTGTGTGTGCGATAAAGTCATGGCAAGGCATTGAACCTTATCTATTAGTTTAAATTTTTAATTTAACAAACACAAATAATACTGTGTGCAAAATATTTTATAAATAGTAGCCCTATGATTAAAGCCTGTTATGTTCCCATTTTATAGATGAAAAATTGTCATAGAGAGCTTAAAGTACTTGTCCATGGGCACTCAGCTCCTAAGTGGTGAAATGAGGACTCAGCTTCTCAGCTGCCCTGGCTCTGCAGTACCTACAACCCAGAAGGGTAATGTTTATCATAGGAACATGGCTTCAAAATTGAACAGTAGTTAGCTATTTTATAACAAAAAGAAAATTTATATTGGTTAATTAGTTTAGCAATTATTTTTTTTTATGATGGGGACTTGACAATTAAATTATATGACAAATGTTTTTCCTGCATTAACATGAAACTCTTCATGATTTTGATGAAAATGTTTAAAGTATTTATATAATATATAACATTTTGAAAATTGTACTTTTGGCAACTATTTAAAGATATAAAAAAATGTAGGTGTCGACATAAAAATATGTCAAGGGACACATAGTTTTGCAAAATTCTTTTAGCAACTTACTACAAAACCGAATTTTTTGAAGGACATCCCTCATCTATATTTAAATAATACAATTACCACATATTTTATTTTTAATATAACATATGGTATTTGTATATTAGATGAAATTTAAAACTTTGGCATCTTTATGGATACAGTAGGTTTTTTCACCTCTCTACCCCCATCAATTTATTAATCTATTGAACTCCTATTTCACTCTTTACTAATGCATGTTGTCAAAGTTTCCTTGAACTGAATTATAATTGCTCATTTTCTGTCAAAAATACTGTACTTCAGTTGTGACACACAAACTACATTTAATAAAAAACGATATGCTTATACTTTTCTCCCTAGATACACTTTATCATTATTCATTTCCCAAAGTTTTGTCCCGGCCTTTCCTACTCACTGCTAATCTCCCAATTCACCAATCAGCACTACTAGTCATATTTAATTGACTAATCTGGTTTCATACAGATGATAATGGAAAAAAGCACATGCAAAGTAATAAACACAAAAAAATGGCACTCTTTGTAACTGGAGCAATGATTATAAATCAGTCTGAGGGACTGATGCTAGACTAGGGTTTTGCAGCAGTAATGCCATGACACCATGCAAGCTCAGTTCCCATTTTGGAATTTAAGAAGATGTGTCCCTCATACTGGAAAAGTTATAACCATCCCTGGGGCCTCCATTTACACCTGGTTGAAGTATGGAGGAGGTGGCCCCCACCGCAAGTTTCCCAACTTGAAGACACTAATACTCTGAGACTGCAGATGTCAGCGGATAAACCAGTGCGTCACACTCAGGGTAGCAAAACCGTGCTTCACACTCAGTGTAGTGAGACTGAGCTTCAGGCTCACACAGCAATTTCCCACTGAGGAAAGGACAGTAAGGGTTAGTAAGCCCAGCCCTAAAGCAATAAGAGAATATTGCCGTATAATGTAAATCATTGGGGGGAAAAAGCAATTAGACCCGATGAGAAGAATTTTCTAATGATATTATTTAAGAATTACCACAATTCCTTAGCAGAAGAGCTAGGGACGGTTACTAGGACCACATTCATTTGTCTCAACTTTGCCTTGCTCTTTATCCCCCCTCTCCATATATATTTTATTATGCATAAGTGTGTGCATGTGCGTGTGCGTGTGTATAATAAAATGTAACAACTTTTTACACAGGAAGAAATTTCACTTTTTTTCTTCACAAAGTTCCAAAGTACAAAAAAAACTCGTACTTTTAATATAATCTAAATTGGGTAGTTTCTACCATGGTAACGGAGGGGATACAAATTCTTAACCAAGAATTTAGTATCCTCCTTAAATAATTCTACCTGAGATTATAATTAACTTGAAGAAAAAGAACTTACCTATGCCAGATTTAGGGATTTTGTTATGTTGTGAAGCAGAAGTCTCTCAATATTCAGATATATGATATTTGGTAACTGTGAATATTGAATTGTGATCAAATCTCAATGTTTGGTGTATAAATTAATTTTTAAAATTTATCACTAATTTTGAATTGATTAATTTTCAGATTTAGTACTAAAGAATATGCCCAAATCAATGGATCCAAAGGATGTGCCTATTTTCAAAAAGGAAATATTTATATTTCCCGCTGCAGTGCTGAAATTTCTTGGATTTGTGAGAAGACAGCAGCATTAGTGAAAACTGAAGATTTGGATTAATAATCTCCTTCCAAATTCAGCAAAAATTTAAGAGGCTTGTGGTTAAGTTCATGTGAGGAGGGAAACAGCTACCCTACCAGAACCAAAACAGATTAAAAAGTGATTATATATTGAAACCATCAGGCAAATAAACTTGTTTCACAGAACATTCTCCACCTCATTATCTGATACCTTCTGATCAGATATCCTGGGTATTGCTCAAGACCTAGGGGAACAGCTGTTCTAGGCCCCTGTTGTTCTGTCTCAGAATTATTTCAATTGGTTTTTCCTCTCTCAAATAAAAGATCTTTTTCTTGCTTTGTTGTTACATATGTACAAGTGCACTGGGGTGATATGTAAATATTTTAGCAGTCACACCTGACACAGACCACAGCCCTGGAATGAGGTCCAGGAGACCCTGCTGTGAGAGTTGCTAGACCAGACAGAGGTTGGGGGGATCCCTGTTAGGGGTCCTAGTTGCTGGGTGCCAAATGCTTTGGCACCACTATACCAAATGATTTGGAAATCTCTTAGTAAATGATTTGCCTCTACCACTGTATACCAGGTAAGCATCAGCCTGAACATGCAAAATAACATGTCCTCTTCTATTTCCCTATGAAAATACATTTTTATTAATCTGTAAAATTTAAATAATGTGTAACCTAGGTGAAGTAGCACATCATTTAACATTTATATTCTCTTTTATTTAAATTAGTACTGTTGAGGTTATTCACGGGGTAATCTTTGTATTATTATTTGAAATTTATTCTCTTATAATTGACATTTTATTTCATTCAGAAAAATTTTAAAGAGATTAAGGTATTATAATAATTATTTTTAATTTTTCAGAATTTTTCTTTGACATTGTTCACCAGTTCCTTGCACACTAGATGATAAACATTGTAAATTTAGAGGTCAGGTATTTTTCTGGGACAAAATTACTGATTTGTGGATATCAATAAAAAAATAATGTTCTTATATTCTCATAGAATTGTATAGCTATGTATAAGCTAAATAGAATGATAAACTAATCTGTGATGTTGATTTTGCTAGAACAAAGATCTAGAATTTAGACCTTTGGAAAAACTGATATGATCCAAGTTCAGAGCTAGTTGCATTTCAATATACTGTGACAGTTTTTTGAAAGAACATCATACATACAATCTAGTAACCTGCTATTCTCAAAAGATTTAAAATTGTGAGCTAATCAACATTTTATTTCTGTACCAACAAGAAGTCTAGAACAAAGGAATTAAAATATAATGTGAAAATTTAACGAGAATTTCAAATACATGTTTCAGCACAACTTAAATACAGATAATTATTTCATCATTGCTCATGTAAACAGGCTTGAACAATTTTCATACAGAACTGCCATTTATAAAGCAACTTTGCTTCATTTCTCTTTAGTAGCTACTGCCATTGTCATTCTCACAGAGATAAAATTATTTATTAAAGGTCAAGAACTCTGCTCCTGACTCCCACACATTTGAGTTTTTCTTGATTCCCGTAGTAAAGATAATTTCTTTTTTAGTCATCTATTTGTCACCATAGAAATATCTGCTCTTAATAGTTAAAATATCTCCTTTGGTTATTTTGTTCCTATAAAGAAGTTACAAGTTTTTTTCTCCTGGTATGTTCTATCTTTTAATTCTTATCTCATGTATGCACTGACTTTCACACTCAGTGAGAAAAGAACATTTATGTTTCTGCCCTCGGAGTGGCTCTGGAATTTGACCAGCTCTTATAGCTCATAGCCCTCCCCCACTGCCCTGCCACCACTATGGGGCCCCTGGCAGCCCCTCTGCAGTAGGTGAGTAAATCCAAAGCTTGGGACGCCTCATGTCACAATAATTTATTTCTTATTGTTTTCTGATACCTTGGTTTATTAAACATGGTATATCTCAGGAATCTCTCTCTCTCTCTTTTTCTCTCTCCCTCTGTCAAAATCCCTGGGAGATATTCACTCAGACACACACATACACTCTCTCTCTCTCTCTCTCTCTCTCTCTCTCACACACACACACACACACACACACAGTCAAATTTCCTGATGAAAGGCTGTGTTTTGTATTTACTTTCAATAACTTCTCTTCCCTCATTGAGTAGTTATGTTGAGCAATTATGTGGTTTCCAAACCAACTTTTACATCAGATTTGCACAAGTAGTATCTTACAAGTTCATGTCTAAGATCTATAGACTCAGAATGACTTGGGGGTAGGACTGAAAAACCTGCGGATTTCACAAACTTCACAGGTGATTCTAAACTAGCCAGTGTAATATTTGGGTAAGTGACCTCAACTTCCTGAGAAAATATGCAGAAGCAAAGTGCTGGAGCCATTCTTAAATTGGATGGCTCGCTCTTTCTTCTCCTTCATTTTTGTCATTTTATTTATTTTATTTTTTCCAGGTTTATTGAAATAATTGACATAAAATTATATTGTATAAGTTTGAGGTGTATGGCACAGTAATTTTATATATAGAGAGACTGTGAAATGATTTCCACACTAAGTTTAGCTAACATATCTAATACCTCACTGGAATGGCTCTCTTTTGCAATGTTAGCAGAATTAGTTTGGTTTGTACAGGTCAGGGCAGCTCAAAACTGGGAGAGAAGTAACTACAAATATCAGCTATTTTATTATTGTAACTTTGACCAATAACTCCTTAATGAAGTCATGGAACTGGATGGTCAGAATAGACAGGTCATATTCAATTTGGTCTATCCGATCTTTGTAGAAGTACAGTAATTTGCAGTTGAGCTGCACACTGAAATTATACTGAGGAGCTCTGAAGAAACACTGATGCCTGAGATGATCCCATCTCTTATGATTCCTATTTGATTGCTCAGTGGTGTGGCTAGGTTATATGATTCTAATGTGTAGCTAGGGTTGAAAAACCACTTCAGAGAGGTCATCCCAGTGACTCTTATGTTGGTGTGGGGATAACATGTTGGTAAAATAGCCAATCCTCCATTATGTATAAGTGGTTTCCCCCCAAAAATCAGAATTACCTTCTGGAGGGCAGGTCCCTTGTAGTACTGGCTTTTGCCATTAGGGAATGTTTAGGAATCCGTCTATATCACTGTACCAGCTGGCGTTGTTGTGAGAGGCTGCATTCCATGGCTTCCCTGAATTTTTCTGAAGACTCAACGCATTTGCTCATTTCATAATGGGTGATGTATGAACACACCTGCCCACACCGCAGTGAGTGTTGAGCAGTTTTTGACCAAAAATGGCATGACCCTCATGCCCCACCCTCCCATTCACCCTATCTCCCCCAAGTAAGTTTTTTTCCCTTGGATGAAAAAAGCCCTCAAAGGGAAACATTTTGCCAAGGTAGAAGAGGTGAAACAAAAAACAACAGAAGCACTAAAAGGCATCAAAATCAACAGGTTCAAAAAAACTGTTTTGAGCAGTGGAAAAAACACCTTGATAGGAGTACTGCCTCAAATGGAGGGTACTTTGCAGGTGACTAAAGTTTAAATATATGAGAATAAATACACAATTTTTTTATAAATAAATTCCAGGTTTTTTGGGTACCCCCTCATAATAAGAAAGTAGGTGAGCTAATTCTACCAGTGAGGGTTCTATGGAGTTGGAACAGTGAGCATAGGGATGTTAACTGAAGCTAAGGTTGAGAATATATTCAAGGCTATATACTGACTGATTTACATGTAATCATGCTTGTATATCTTTGACCATGTAAGGAGAAAGATGTGGTGGACCTATGATTAACATTGTTTTCCTGAGGGTAGGTATTATGGTAGCAAAATGAGACCAGAAGAAGAAATGATTAACTTTGTAAATTGAGACTTTATTGTGAAGCTGAGGACTAAAATTAAGACACAGATTCTGAACAGATGGCAAAAGTTAACAAGGTGATCTTGAAGCAAATATAACTCTTTATCCCTCAGGTATGTTTGTCTTACAGCACAAGTAACTTCAAGTAATAGCATGGATTTTTCACTCTTCAACATCTATAATAATATAAGGATGATTAAGTGCATCTCCCCTCAGTTTTCTCAAACCAGGTATTAGCTTCTAAGATTTAGATGTGCCTTAGCCTTTTATTAGGGGATCATATAATTTGGTGCTTAAGGCAACATATTTTCAAAGTCAGACAGTTGTAAGTTTGTGTTCTTACTGTCCATTTAAGAGCTATGTAATCTTTGATAGGATTCTTTTTTTATTAATTAATTAATTAATTATTTTTCAAATACATGTGTCTCTGCCTTCCCCCTACCACTTTCCCTTGCACCCTCCCCCCCTCCCTCCCTCAACCCTTTCCCTTTGGTTTTGTCCATGAATCCTTGCTATATGTTCCTTGACTTGCCCCTTCCCTTCCTTTTCCTCCGTCCACCCCTCCCTCCTTCCCGCTTGTCTCTGTTGGTTTCTTTTCCTTTCAGTGTTGCTGGTCTTATTTTCCTTGCATCTTTGTATTGTTGGTTAGGTTCCGCTTATAGGTGAGATCATATGGTATTTGTCTTTCGCCCCCTGGCTTATTTAGCTTAGCATAATGCTCTCGAGTTCCATCCATGCTGTCATGAAGTTTAGTAGTTCTTTTTTTCTTTCTGCTGCATAGTATTCCATTGGGTAAATGTACCATAGTTTTTTGATCCAATAATCTACTGATGGGCATTTAGGTGGATTCTTATACTCTTGACTGCACAGGGTAACATAAATAGTATGTATTCCCTATGAATTTTGTGAAGGAAAAAATGCCATATAAAGCACGTGGTGCAGTGAGCAGCCAGTGAAGTTTAGCCATTATCCCTCTCAGCTTCCACTAGGAGAGAGGATTCCTGTGAGCCTTCCAGGCCTGTGCACACTGCTTACTGCATGGTGTTCTCTGATTTTCACCACCAGAGCTTGTTTTTGCATGCAGCTACTGAATCCCTACTTCTGTATCTGTAGGGTTTTTAAGAAATTGATCTTGGTGTAACAGAAAGGCAACCCTTTTTTTCTTACAAATACAATGAAAGCTGGTACATGACACCAAACATCAGTCCATCCAAGTAC